GAGCTGCCGCTGTTGAGGTGGAGCGTTGATGGGGTACAGTACAAGCTCGTGCAAACGGAAGAGCTACACCTATGGATGGTGACCCCAGTGGAGATGACGAGCTCTTGGAAGCCAGGTTCACAAGGCTTCTTGGCAACCTACGTTGATGACTTTCTAGTTGGAGCTCCACAAGAACAAGCAAATGCGATGTTGGAAGCTGTACAAAGGAGGTGGACATGCAGCCCACCAGAAATGGTCACTGAAGACCACCAAATGAAGTTTTGTGGATACGAGATTGCCAAGGTCAAGGACGGGTTCTTTCTACATCAATGTGGATACCTCAAGGACGTCCTGAAACGACATGGCATGGAGGCTGGCATGGCACCAGTCAAGAACTTGTTTGCCAACTTGGGCGAAGATGACACTGAGGAGGTGCAAACAGGAGATCTTCGTCAAGCTCAACAAGTCATAGGGGAACTGCAGTGGTTGATTACCCGAACACGACCTGACATGGTGTATCATGTTGGTGTCATGGCACGTCTTGCGCACCGACGAGCAAGACATGTGGTCAAGCTTGGAGATGAGTTACTGAGGTATTTGAGTGCAACAAGTTCAAAGGGTTTGCACTACATGAAGACCTCAGCACAAAAACCGTATGGTCGCAATGATGAGCTGGCCACGCAGGTGTCGATCAACAATTTGGAGGTGTTTGTGGATGCTTCGCACGCCCTGGAGCATGAGAACTACAAGTCGGTGACTGGGGTGATACTATGTGTTGGGGGTTCTCCCATCGCATGGGCAAGTGGCAGACAGCCGTTTGTTACCACTTCAACAGCCGAAAGCGAACTGGTGAGCTGTGGAGAAGGTTTCCAGTGTGGAGAAAAGCTTGCAGCACTCCTGGAGGTGATGGGCGTTGGGGACATCAACAAGACCCTCAACTGCGATTCCAAAAGTGCACTTCACTTGTGCACCAATGACACAGGTAGTTGGAGAACAAGACATCTGAGGATCAGGTATGCTCGACTTCGAGAAGCGTTTCAAGATGAGCTCCCGCGCTGGTGTGCGAGGCATGTCAGTGGTTTGGTGCTTCCAGCTGATGGAGCGACGAAACCGCTTCAAGGACCAAAGATGGACAACTTTGTGGACTCCATCTACCTGGACGATCTCAATGATCTGCGACGTGCAGAAGATGAGCTGAGAGCGGAGGAAGAGATAGTAGTGAGGCTTCTCTCAACTGGCCAGACGCTGATGGAGACAGATGACTCTCAGTGTCAAGAAACTGGTCTGGGCCTCATCGTTGCTGCATGTTGGATGATGAAAAAGAGGGAAAGGGAAAATGAACCTTCCCCACCATGGTCAGTTAGGGAAAATGAACCAACTGACATGGAAGAGGCCAACGTCAGGGCACCAAATGAACCGACGTTGAGACATGAGGGTAGGGAAGATGAACCACCCCGTAGGTTGATGAAAACCATGGTGAGGGCCCCAAATGAACCCACCATGCAAGAAGAGGGCAGGGAAAATGAACCGCCCAACAAGAGCCAAAAGGAGGCCATGCAACCTTTCCCAAAAGGGATGATCGATGTGGAGGGGAAAAGAAACTTTAGGGTTTCAAACATGGAGCGTAGTCCTAGTGCTGAGTACTATCCTCAAAGGGATCAAGTTTCCTCCCCACAAAGATCATCTCAAAACCCTGACAACTGCCCTTCGGGCTGCCACGGGCCGCAACTTCGGGCGCTCAAAGTCAGCCATGGGAAGAGACGTCAACAACGAGGTCTTTCGAAGAGGCGCCAAGGGGATGGGCATGGTTTCAACTGCAACTTGGTTGGTCGTGCTGAGCAATGGCATGGACTTGAAGGAGATCCGATTGAGGACTTCTCTGTTGAGGACCTTGGGCTCGAGCCGCCAACTGAGGTTTTGGGTGCCGGGCGACACGCCATGGAGAACACGGCGAGGTCGTCAGGGAGTTCGGCAATGGGGACTTCTTCACTGCCGACCTCTATGGCAACTAAGGGCAAAGGCCACCGTGGCCATGATGATGGCCAGCCTGGCCATGGAAAGGGCCAAGGAGGCCACTACAAGGGCCAACAAGGCCAGATGGATGGTCAGTTGGACCAAAAAGGAAAGGGCACTGGCAAGGTGTCTGAACGTGGTAGGGTAGCAATGATGAGCCCTGCAACTTCAGCCATTTGGGCTGGAACAGAACTCCAACCGCTTGGACCAGTTCAACAACGTGGACAAGCAGCAATGGGAACAAGAGTGATGAGGGGCAGTCGCTTTGGGTTTGAGTACGTGCCGATCCGCAACTATGATCCACGTCTTCGAGAACCAGAACCACAAGAGCGACCTCCAAGACCACCAGCGCAGCAGGTGGATGAAACGCAGTCTGATGGGAGCTATGAGTTGGTTTCAGAGGCTGTGGATGAGGAGCAGCCCCCACAGACTGAAAGGCAAGTGCAGTTGGAGGGCAAGCACGGTGCAATGGCTATGCCCCCACCAGGTGGAGATGGAGATGATCCTGGCCGAGATCGTCGAAATCGACGTGAACCAGAACGAGACCATGGGCCGGACCCTCCATCGGATGATGAAGATGAAGATGAAGAAGAACGTCCACGCAGGACATGCACAACCCTGGACGTCAAGAGGCAAAGAATGGCTTGGGCGCGACCCCCTGGATACTGGTTTCGGGGACGTGGCAGAGGCTCCAAGCAGGATGTGGAGACTGGCAAGGATGGGTCAACGATCATCCATGGGGTGCTCAGTCCAAACATGTCCTGGCAAAGGATATACGCCAAGGGCTGTCGACCCCGCCAGCTCTTCACACGTGACCAAGGAGGAAAGGGCTCAGCGCAGGCAGCTCCAGTGCTGATTGGGCGAGGCGACACGCCGGCTGAGCAGAGGCGCAGCATCCTCCTGGCGACAGCCAATGCAAAGGCGGTCCAGGCGTTGCGCACAGCCGACCAGGTGAATGTCACCAGCGAGGACTCCAATGAGGTGGCTCTGGCGGTGGAGGCAGCTACAGCGGCGGTGGACTACGCCGCGGACGTCCAGGAGATGACGGAAAGTGGCACCACCCCAGGCCAAGCTGGAAAGAGCAGCGGAAGAAGTCGCATCTCCGTCGCACAACTTGGTAAAGGCAAACCAGCCACTGCTGGCGAGCTGCAGGCTCACTACGCAGCGAAGGGCAAAGCGAAAGGCAGTGAAGCCTTGGAGCCTTTTGCAGATGGTTTGCATGAGGATGGCGGCGAGACTGCGGAGGAAGAGGCCTCTGAGAATGACATGGAGGTCATCCCTGAAGAGGACGAGGGTGATGGCGATGATGGTGGAGGTGATGATGGTGGAGCCGAAGGGCCTGTAACAGACCCACCAACAGCTACCACAGCAACCGAGGTGGCAATCACTTCGACCACTGCGGGTGACCCAGCGAATGTCGAGGAAGAGGTCAACGCAGAGCCAGAGAACGTTGAAGAAGAGGTCAATGTGGAGCAGGACACAGAGGTTGGAAATGCGCGCCCTTCAAGGGTGGTGCGCAACGACCCGGAGCATGAGATGGCGCCGATGGTCCCAGGAAGTTTGGGGCAACAGATGCGGGCAAAGGCAAGTTTTGGCATGGCATCAGCACCGCCAGCGCAGCATGTACAGCAGGTGATGACAGCGCTGATGCAGGGCCAGACCATTCCTTTGACGTATGGACGTTGGGTCCAGTGGGATCAGACCAGTTGGGTTGGATCCATGCAGACCTACAGATATGGCGTGCTCAATGGCTTGCAGGTGGAGATGGACTTCGCGCAGGTGGGCTTGATGCTTCGCCGGCCAGTGGTTCCTGGGGTGACGCATTCGCTTGCGCTCCAAGGAAATGTGGTGGCTGTGCCGAAGAATGGGCTGACCAGAGAAAGCACAGAGGAGGAGGCTGACCCAGGGGTTCCGTTTGAGCACGGGATGGTTCAACCTGGAAGGAAACCGCCACCTCAGGCTTGGTTTCAACGACAGAACATGCAGGAGTGGATGAACCGCATGGCCAAACCACCAGCAGTTCCAGCACAACATGCAATGCCAGGTCCACCACCGGCGGGCCCACCACCTCAAGTGAGAGCGGGACCACCTCCAATTGGTCCACCTCCGGCCAAGGTGATGCCGAGGGCAGCTCCGAACTATGTGCCTGGACCTCCACAAGGGCAACCACCAATGGCTGCGCCGATGCAGCAAAGACCACAAGGTCCGTCAGGATACGGTGGTGATCAAGGTGGCAGTCTGCAGCCACCACAACAGCAGATGATGGGAAACCCTGGTCAGAGGGCGACGTTGTCCTATATGTTGCGTATGACTGGTGAACTTCGAGCAGAACGAGGAGTTCAACCAGCCAAAACCGCAGCAGACTTGGGTCTGCGACCGGTGTTGCGTCCGCCAACGACAACATCGAAAGCTGCAGCGAGTTCCACAAATGTTTATGTGGAGCGCCGTGAAGAGGCTGCCGATAGGGTTACGGTGAGATCCGATTCACCGGCCCTGTCAGTGACTTCGAGCTCTACGGCATGATCCAGGTGGAGCGCAATTTTGAAAAGATGCTCTTTTGAGGGCCGGACAATTTTTCTTTGGCAGGGTCTTTACTGCCAACAAGTCAGCTGAGGCATGAGTCTTTACGTGCCGAGGTTGATTCCAAAAGGTGCGAGTCTTTACGCACTGTAGTTTTTCACTCTTTAAGACCAGTGGGGCCTAACAACAACCTGGCGTCACTGGCAAATCCAATTTCTTTTAGAGCCTTGAGCCCTGGGCAGACTCAACCCTTTTCTACACGACAAGGTCGTGGGGGGAGTGCAAAAGGGGTTACAAGTGTGACATGCAGTGCAGTATCTGTTCATATCAGTTGACAACTGCTGACAACAACTCTTCCGATTGTGGAAGGCTCTTTTAGGATCAAAAGGCGCGCTGCTCTGCCTTGCACAAGATGGTTTACCTATTAAAAGTGGTGATTTCCATAGTTTTTTGTAGGTTTACCAGAGGGTAACCGGAAGCTTCCAGGCCTGAAAGCGCCCCGTTGTACTTCTCCATCATCTGCTTGGTTTCGTGGTTCCCCTGCACTGAATCCAAGGTGTTTTGCAAGCTGTGGCTGGTGATCATCCCCGGTAACCAACGAATCAAAGGATTCAGAAAGGGTAGTATAACCCCTGAAGAAATCACTGGTTGGTATACTTAGATATACTTAGTATCCTCTGAAAAATGATGGAGTGAGTTTGTCAGTTGGGATGATGGCATTCCCAATATATGGAAAGTCATAAGAGTATATAAAAGTCATGTTCCAAAGCACCAATCAGAATCATCAATTCAACAGGGGTTTAGCACTGTAAGAGGAACCACTTGAGATGCAAGCGACACATCAAACCAACACAGGTTTTTTCAATTTTCAAAAAAGCAGCACCATTTTTTGCGGTGATGGTAGCCAGTCAACTATGTGCAAAGCGACCCCAAACAAAGATTCCACTTGAATCAGTTAAGCAAACAGCAACAACAGCATAGCCATGCTATGGCCTGCTGAACAACGGGGATCCACATGGTATCTGACAAAGATGGAATGTGCACAGCATGTGAAGTACAAAATACTATGGGGATCACAAAATCATCCAAAATTTCTGATTGTCAATGGGAACAGCAATGATTTGGAGTGATTTGGGGGTCCCTCAGTTTAGGAAACCTCCATTTTTGGAACTTTTGCTGCTGGCACTTGGCAACAGGGTGTACTACTGATCCCTTCCTACAGGCTACACCTGGACAAAGGTTCAGACTTCCTCCAGAGTATGCGCACGAATGGAACAAGTCTTCGCTTCTTGGCAGCCAAATATGCTACCATGTGGTTATGACTAACATAGCCATGGAAAATCACCATTTTTAATAGGTGAACCATCTATAAATGGGCCATCTATACCATGGCTATGTTAAATAACCAGAGGCTAACTTTGACTCCTATTTCTTAATAAAAAGCACTGGCGCCCTACAGACAGAAAAAGATCACGCCATGCTCTCGCCATGGAAAAATCTTGAAGAATCGTCTCGGTGTCTGTCCAGCGCGCCTTGGGTTCTTCAAAGACAGGCTTCTCCGTGCTAATGTCCTGCAGAATGCCTGGAGCCCAAGTGCCGAAGCTGGACCATGCGCTGGACCCAGCTGGACCAATAAGTCAGTCAAGACTTATCCCCTGGTAATCAAACATTCGCATATGCAAAATGAATCCAGTTTGTGAATGAATGTCCCATGAAAAAAATATGTTACCCTCTGGTAAACGTTTACATAACTATGGAAAATCACCATGTTCAATGGGAAAATCCACTATAAATGGTGATTTTCAATAGCTATGTTAAATTACCAGAGGGTAAAAGCTTCACATCGTTCAGGGATGCCCAAACTGCCTTCAACATCTTCAACTGCTGGGAACAAACCAATTCTTGTTTTCAGCGGCCGATACCGCCAAACATTGTGGTTATGCCTAGAGACCTAGAGCAAGACCCATTGGTGAGCCCCTGAAATTATGTGACATGATGAGAGGACAATACCGACAAATACCGACAATATCCACCTGGACCAAATAACAATTCATCAGAGGCACTGCTTCATCCCCATACCCAAACCGCATTCAAGTTGCATATATCCAACAACATGCAAATCGCAAGTATAGTAGCGAAAAAGGTGCGATTCATGAGGACCTGTTGTGCTTTTTCAGGGTTTACATAAAGCGAAATGAGGAACGACTTATGCAGCTTATGCATTCCCATTCTGCTTCAACCCATTTCAACCCAATGTTCACCATGGTAAACCGTACGGTAAACCCTAAATAAATAGCTACGCCTTGGCTACAAATTCCGAGACCTGCCTTGCTGGCGCCAGGCCTCCAAGACAGAATCTTTCCTCGGATGCTCTGAGATGGGTGCGATCCTCCCAAGCTTCATCCGATGTAAACGTTGTGCGTGCGCGTTTTGAAACGCGACTACCCTCTGGTAAACGTTTACATAACTATGGAAAATCACCATGTTTAATGGGAAAGCCTCACTGTAAATGGCAATTTTCAATAGCTATGTTAAATTACCAGAGGGTAAACATTCCTCCACTCATCACCCGATCAACAGACCAACCGCCATCCACCAACATTTGCTATTCCGCCGGGCCCGAAAAAACGACACGTCCGAGACATGGCTCATGCTGTAGGACGAAAAGGCAAGCAACAAGCCATCAGGTACCTGTCACAAGAATGGCCTGTGGAAAACACTCCAAAATGCTGATCATATTCTCATTGGATTGGTTTAAGGGAAAATCTACAGGAAACCATGGTTTTTACCATGAAATATGGGGCTTTCCTGTAAATTTTCCCATCATCCAATTCTATGATATTCATCAATAATCCCATCCCCCCGTTCATACGAAACATGCCTGGATGCCCCGATTTTTGTTCCATGGTGGATGTAGGGGATGAAATCGCGCAGCATTGATGAAGCATGATGAACCACGGAATGGGGATGTTGAAAGAACGGATTACCCTCTGGCAAACGTTTACATAACTATGGAAAACCACCATTTTTCATGGGAAAATCAACTATTTCGACTGGGCCATGTTCAATAGCTTTTTGTATGTTTACCAGGCCGGGTATAATTGACCATTAACCATAGATTATCCATATATTACCCATAGATTACCATAGATTTTGCTTTTTGTTTTGCATACCCTGCAGTGGTTTGCCTTGCAACATTGCATGAACCCTGCAGTATCATTCATGAAAAAGTTCCAGGGGTGCCTTTCGACATGCGGCGCAAGCATCCAAAACAGATCTTTGAGAAAAGTCGGTCAAACAGAAATCACAAAAAGGGAGAGAAAAAAAAATAGGCAAACCTATCATTAAACAATGCTGCGAAGCTTGATACATTTGATACCCCAAAACTCAACTATGCTATCAGAAGCTGGTATGCCAAATTCTCAAAGTGTGACCCACACCGAAACGCCATGGTGATCGGTGGACTTGACCTCAGAATTTCATGTCATGCCCAGCTGATGCCACATGCCCACGACTCTGCAGTCACAAATTCAAATTACTCTCTGGTAAACTAACATAGCTATGGAAAATCACCATTTTCAATGGGTAAATCCACTATAAATGGTCAATTTCAATAGCTATGTTAAATTACCAGAGGGTAACATCAATATACTCACCTCCGACCGGCCACTAATTTGACCAAGGGCCTTCACGTCAACGTCTTGAGGTCTTGCTAGAGCTATGCAAGAATTTTTGAGCAATTCTTATCAGTCAAAGTCTTGAGGTGTACTGGAGGCTTTTTAGAAATGCAGTTCCAACCATCGGGCACGCTTCCAGCGAGGCGCTTCACCGTTGCTCCGAGCTCCTGAAAGTGAAACCCAGATCTTGAAACCAGTGTCCGGAGAGTTTTTGACACTTCTACAACTATATTTGCATTATATATCATATATATCATATATATCCAAAAGATTGATGTGTGTACTGTGTATTTTTCAAAAGCATTCGAAGCAACAACACATCAAGAACACGCTCCTCATCTCTTCATCTAAGAATATCTGGGTAAATTATAATATGTCACCAACCTGAATAGTTCGGCCTCACATGGGGATGATTCCCCTGATTCCCCTGACATAAACCATGATTTCCAGGGTTCGGGAGAACAGGCTTCGGTCATGATCAAACTTACCCACAAAGTGGTGCCCCCCAGTGATGTTTGTTGGTTTATAAAGTCCCAGTAACTCGTTCGTTATAAGTACCATAAACCATAGTGACATTGGAGTTATTTCATTGCACCAACTGAACGCGATTTCGTACACGGGGGCCTCACATTGCAGAGGTCACGGAGCTACCTCTGTCATCCATCCAGTCATTCGTCATGGGTGACGACGAAGAATCCACCATTCTTGAGAACGCGAAAAATTTATCCATGGATAACATGAAAAAACCAAGTAGCCTCTGGTTTTTTCAGCCGCATAACTGCATAACTATGGAAAATCACCAGAAAAATCGAGTCGACTGATAGGTAAATCACCATTTTTGAGGTGACAACTGGTAAATGTTTATCCATTTTTGAGAACAAAAATCCATGGAGATTTATCCTCTATGACTCTTTCTATGGACCATTGGAAAATCCACATTTTCCGCCATAAATGGGATCTGGTAGCCATGTGACATGCCATGACTAGCCACGCTCCTTGATATATCCCACATCACTGCGATGGCTAAAGGCGGCATCTAGGGAAACCTGCAGAGGTTTCTGAGAAATCGCAGCGAAAGAATCTGCGACAATGTGGTTAAATAAACATATGGAAAAACCAATGGGATTTGATGATCAAAGTATGTCAAAGTATGTCAAACATACTGGAACTACAGCTGGAACTATAGGAAACAAATTGACAAACTACCCTCTGGTAAACAAACATAGCTATTGAAAATTGTCAGTTATAGTTGATTTACCCATTTAGAATGGTGATTGTCCATAGTTATGTTAGTTTACCAGAGTATAATATCACAGACTGATTCAAAATGATCTGATAACGGGTTGCACTCCAACATCTCAAACATCAACGGCCCCCCCATGTTAAGGTGGCAGGGATATGCAAGACTTAGCGGCTAACACCAAGCGGCAAGACACGAAATCCACATGTCCCAAGGGGGTTAAATCCTTCAATCCGATACCCACTGGTAAACGTTTACACAACTATGGAAAATCACCATTTTTAATGGGTAAATCCACTATAAATGGCCATTTTCAATAGCTATTGTTAAATTACCAGAGGTTTCCTGTTCTACGACGTTTCGAAAAAAAAACACGCACAATCTGAACATGACATCAATATTGGTGAATGGCAGAATGATGCGGGCCTTGGTAGATTTTGGACTCAGAATATGTTAGAATCTTTTGAAGTGGAATATTGGAAATTGGAATTGAATACGTCTGAAAATGTTGACTTTTCTACGGCAAAAACGGCACAAGAAAACATCCATTTTTGGGCCATGAAACCGTCAGGAAAATGCTGACACAACTTCCATGGTTTTTCCTGGTGTTTTCCTTGTGGTTTTCTCCAACATTTGCCAACAAACGGTGCCTCATTGGGCCCCTGCGACAGCAAAGCTCCGAAGAGCTGTCGACCTTGGCAGTGATCCGTCCAAAAAGTTGATGCCTGCCAACCACATACCCATATGCGAACCATGGTGCTGGAATATGCACACCCACATTTGCCCTTTAAAAACCACCCAGTTTTGTAGGTTTTTATCTACCAGCACCATGGTTCCAAGATGTGCCTTTTGTTCCCAAAATTGGGGCCGTTCATATCACCCAAGGATTGGGGATTTCTTACCCTCTGGTAAACGTTTACATAACTATGGAAAATCACCAATTTTCATGGGAAAATCCACTATAAATGGTGATTTTCCATTTCTATGAATTTCTTATCTCCAACAGATGTTCAAAATCCGCCCGTGGCCAGCGATTCAAAGGTTCGGACGCAGCCTTCCCACAACGACATGTCTTGCGTCACGACATCGGTTTTTAAGGACATCACTTGACCATGACCCAGGAAGATGTGAACAAGCTTTTTGGGCGCCCATGACTCTTTTCAATGGTTTTCTTAAAATGGAAGTAGTGTGACTTTTTGCACTGATTATCAATATCATAATATCAGTTGATATCATTATATCCTGTTATTCATAGTAATTTATCATAATAACAGTATATATATATACATATATATATTATACATATATCACCAGTTCAAGTCATCACAGTTGATGCTGTTCACCATCCGTGAAAATCCGAGACTGGGCTCATGGACTTGGATCAATTACATGGCGATTCTCCAAGACCACCGGGAAGGGGACCTGGGCGGCGGCAACGACGCCGCCTTTGCGAACAAGGCCGGCCGCTTCAACGGAAGAAGATGTGTTTCACAATTGGGAGTCCAGCAGAGTCAGTGATAGTTTTAAAAAAACTATGTAAGGATTGAATACGGTAATGAGGTATTTGCCCTTTGGTAATTTAACATACTGTAACTATTGAACATGGCCATAGAAATAGTGGATTTACCCATTAAAAATGGTGGATCTTTCCATAGTTATGTAAACGTTTACCAGAGGGTACCACATGTGTAGTATGGAACAAAGCTCACGACCGCATGAGTTGAGGTGTTCACCAAGGCCATACGCTGCCGGTAACACGGCAAGGAGTTGCTGGAGAATTGGCGCAAAATCTGTCCACCAAAGTTACATTAAAGGCAACAAAACATTGACTGAATGCGGAACATTTTTTATATTCCCGAAAAAATCTCTAAAGTTATGTACTGCAAGTGGATTGTGGTTGATTCATGTTGATTCATATCTTGTCGGGAAACATGGCAGGCATTGCCTTCCTTCACCCACATGGCTCCCGACGCCGAAGGCTTCTGCAGTGCTGTTCATTGGTGACAAAGTGCCTGCGCGAAAGATCTGACTGGATAATCCAATACTACTAGGAACCTAAAAATAACAATGAAAAATCCATTTATGTACCATATTGTGACTATTTGGAGGGTACCCCCTAATTAATAAACCATGGTTGACATGACTTGCAATATGGGGGCTTCCTAAAATGGGGGATCCCCAAACCACCAGTTGGGTTTCAATACTTTTTAATGGTCAAACAGTACTGGGATGATGACTGGGGGGTACCTCCATATTGACATGCCATGAAGTTGACGGGGCACTAGGTCCCATGTGGGAACCCCATGGAGTTCTCCTACTAGCTGTGGCTTCCAGTGAGAGGGCAAGATTCGTTCCGCTATGGCTCCCTGTCAGTCATCCCCCTTGCTGAGTCAACTATGGAAGTGTTAAGGGCTACACTAAATACCATCTGGTTATGACATTCACAGTTCGCCATGGAAAATCACCATTTGTAATGGGCAAACCATCTATTTCTATGGGTCATCTATACCATGGCTATGTTAGTCATAACCAGAGGGTAGCTAAAATGCCCAGTGATCAGGTTCTAAGCGACACACAGTTTCCAAACAGTTTCGAGGATTTTCGAGGAACGTTTCTACTCACAACTGGCTAATGACGTCACTGTGCAAGATCTTGTCCATTTTAGTCCCTTTCATCCCAAGTTCATGAACAAACATTACCTGGCAATTTAGGTTCATGCGATGCTGTGACAGTATGGATTGACTAGTTACTAGTATTCCAAGGTTGGGCCATCGACAGATGGATCTGTACAGCTGGGGGTTTTGGTTGGTTTTTCTGTCAAAACATCCATGAGTCGGACCGGAGATGATACGGGTTCCATCGGGTTCCCATACTGCTTCAGAGATCTACTATCTAGCCATGCAAGATGTGAATATAGATGAGACAAATGCAAAATTCAGCCGCGCTGGATACTGCTTGGTGCAGTTCCACTGAGAAATAGAGGGCATATCTCAACTTTTGGGGGTTTAATTTCCCATCTTTAAATTGATTTATATTCATAAAAGATCATAAAAAGTAACCTCAACTGGAGCCCCCAAGTATACTTATTGGTTTCTCCAAACCCTCCTCGCCTGAGGTTATGATCACGCTGTGCACCTTGTCGCCGTTCGGGATTTTTCACCGTTCGCTAGAAAGTAACGTGTCCCAAATCCGAGACATGCGGCGGTCCAAAGAAATACTGGAAAACATAGGGAAACACAAAAAAACACAGAACCGTCCTATTGTATCAGAAAAAAATGAGTTGGCTTATGTGCTAAAAAACCATCTTATACCATGTGTTGTATACTGTTTTTTTCCCCTGATTCTTCAAAAAAGTCCAGTTTTTTCAAACGTTTTTTTTTTCTCCCCCATGTTGAAAAAACCACCGGAGACGAGGATCGGCCGCACCTCATGCTTTTGGAGATCATTCATGGCCACTGAACAGGAGAAGCACCACAGGCACAGGCGTCGTGGATGTTGCCCGTCCCTAGGCGTTAAGGACGGCCGTGAAAAATGTGAAAACGCCCTGCCCTGCCCTTGAACAAGAAAAAAACGCCATGGTTTCAGGGATGAAATCACATATCACATATACAGGATATAATATATATATATATACTATGTGACTGGGTATGACTGGGACTGTAGAATCGTAGAATGAAGGAGTTGTTCTTCTAAAAACGGGGGGAATGTGAATATACCCAATTCCAATTCCAATGCCATGAGTTTCCAGATGAGAATCGCCATTTTGGACAAATTCATCATATCACAAAAAGGCATCATCTTGGTTTCAGTTTCATTCCTGAATATCTTTAGAAAATGCGTTGCGCAAATCAGCAAGCAAAACAAAGCTTGAAGCTGCACCCAAAAGAAAGGATAGCTAGGCTTCAGAGAGCCTGAAAACATCTTCCAGTCTTGGAGTATTTTTGCGAAAACGCAAACAACATAAAACAGAACCTACATGGGCATAGGTCAGCACTTCAAAGCAGGGACATTTTTTGATTCATTATGATCATTCTAGTGTGTCAAAGCCCAATTTCTTTCAAAATTTTGCCCTTAAAATCATAGGCCAAAAACCAAGAGACTCGTCACTCAGTTTCAACAAACCCCGTCAGACCGCAAGTTCTGTGCAGCTAAGGTCGCTCCCTGGTTCCATCCACTGTGAAGAAATCCACGGCTTTTCGCTTCTGACCTTTCTTCTCCACGTCCTGCCAAACTTGCGAACTAAATGGAGCTTTAAAAGATCACAATGATCTGATGGCTCAACCACGTTCCCAAGCTGCGGTCAGCAGCCTTTTTGCGGGGCACTTGAACGTCTTGAGCCAAACATTTGGCCATGGGGAACATGTTGTTCACCCTGACCGGCTGGAGGTTTGGCATGTGAATTAATTAGTTAAAACAAGCGGACATGTTGTTGTATCAGTACGGGCAAACTGGATTCCAGGGTTCATGTCTATTAACATGACCTCATGCATTGGTTATGAATTCCAGTCTACATTGAATGCAATGGAAGCACTTGTTGGTGACACTACGTTGCACTACACTGCACTACACTGCGCTACGTGAGGGGGCATTTTACGCGTAATCTTTCTTCTGCTTTGACCAATAATGTCCTTTTGGTAAAAATAGAGGGGCCGGGAGCTGGTATACCATCCATCATCATAGAAACCTGTTGTTAAAGGGGGGTGTTCAAACCCCTCTATTGATCAACCAACCAATGGGAAAAATCATCTACAAATGAAGAATTAGTCCATTGTCAGGGACTCAGGTCAGTTTTCAGAGCATCTGTGGATAAGGTGGCACCCAGAGTGGTTCAAAAACGTCACGAAATTCAGAGCTTTTAGGATCTCCTTATATATATATACATATATATATATAATATATATATATAATATATAATATATATATATATATTATATATATAATATGTATATGTATTATATATAATATATATATATATAATATATATATAATATATATATAATATATATATATATAATATATATATATATAATATATATATATGTGTGTGTCTGAAAATCGAGTATATCAGTATATCCCCATTTTTTGGAACTTCAACAGGGAAAATGATGATGTTGAAGCACTTTCTTTGGTGTTTCGCCTAATTTTTCCGTGGGGAGCCGCTGAGTCAGCTGAAGAAATACATGGTGATTCTGGTTTTACTGGCGAAATCTCTGTGGTTATGAGTCAAAAATCTGCACCCCTGGTGAACTTCAAAAAAGCTGGTAAACGGATGGTCATCCCCCTATTTAATGTAGGTATTGATCCATAGCCATATATGTGATCATGAGCAGGTTTCATACCCTTGATGTTACCCAGCAGCTTAGTGCCCCTAAGCTAACTCCAAGTCGTTGGTATCTGGACGGTCTTGGCGATCTTCCATGGAGACACCGTGCCTCGTAAATCAGCAGTTGGTAGTTCTTGTCCAATTCCTATTGGTGTCGTTGCGGGCTCTATAGTCAAGCAGAAACATTTGAGGGAAACCATGGAAAACCGAGAAAATCAGGCACTGGGGTAGGAATTGATGGGAATGGCTGTCCATATCAACGCCTTCTAAATTTGGCTGCGCGTAATTCACATGGTCAAAGACTCATAGCAACTTTCACCAACGATCAATCCATACCGAATCTCTCTCAACAGCAATCCGGGCAGCTCTCCTCCTTACCATGCTGGAAGGCTATAAGAAGGAGCTGCTGAATCTTCTCCAAGTATTGCCCTCCTGTTTCGCCAAGTCTGGTTGAAACATCAGATCATCAACGACTTGAGATGAACTGAAAAATCAGATCCTGGTATTCCATTGTATTCCTAGGATTTGGTACTTTTCTTGGGGTTCCAACAGATTGGTCACCTTATTTCCAGCCAGGAAAGGCGCACAAAGCTGCAACCCCAGCAGTATTTGGAATTTTCGGATGTATCCTGATCTATAGTCATCTGCGGACTGTTAATGTCTATTAATGCAGATGAACTATAGATTATTAGTTAGTCTATTATATGTTAATAGATAAATCTATTCCTGATTTATAGTCTATTAATGTCTGTCAGATGACTATAGATCAGGATAGTGTCTATTATGATCATTATGATCATTATGACACTAACAGTTCATATAGACACTATTAATGCCTCCTAATGCCTGTTAGTGTCTATTATGAACTGTCCAGCAACTGAACGAACTGTGCAACGACCTGGCTCTAGCTGAATTTGGGAATCCCGACTTATCCAATCTACGCTGCTTTAAAGGTCCAGAACCTCAAATGTTTGGCCCATATGGGTATGGATCAATACCTATTAATACCATTTTTAGGGGGATGAACATCCATAAATCCCAGCTATTTTGATGTGAACTACAGGGTTTTGACACACTGCCATATCTGAATCATTCTGAATGGCGCATTCAACCTTGCTTTTTGTATACCGTGTGTATCCGTTTGTATGTTGAAATGGCGACCCCTTTCCAAAATGGATGACACCTCAAGTTGCAAAAAAAAGAAGAGAACCAACGCACCTGTTTTGACCCGTGATATCCGTGAGCACCGCTGCGCGCTGCTTTTCTTGCTTCTCTCACTGTGGCCAAGTTGCATCTTGCTGGTTGGGGATTGAAAAAGCAAGCGATGACATGATTTCTAACTGACTTTCTGGATTGCTGATTTGGTTTTCGTGACATTTAGCACACTGTCTCCCCGGCAAGCACAACATCGAAATCTACTGAGGAAAGTAGATCATGGGAATGCCTGAAGCCATCTGAAGTCCATTTCCATCAAAGAATTCAACTCCAAAAACCCACATAGCAATCATAGCAGATAGCAACACTTCTGGATCTGAGATTCTCAGACACGCCTCTGAAAGTACTGAGTAATTGCTGCATCAATTGAGGTTTCCCAGCTGATTCTGGCAGAATCCTTGGGGTATTGAGGAACATCCAATGAAATCTCGTAGAAAGCCACCCACCTGGTTGCAGCTGTTGCATGGCATGGCTAGTCGATACACATCTAGTTCCAGCGCAGGCTTCCAGGCTTCCGCGTCCCAAGTCCATCTCCACCACCCTACCACAGTGGATTTAAAAAGAAAAACCAGAGCACCTGAAATTTGAAAATCGGTTGAGATCAGACATGTGTCAAACACTAGCTCGCCACATGTTACAGAAGGCTGAGCTGCCAAGCAGTCAAGCACTGCATCTGGCAATGGGACTACTACACATCTGGAGCAGTGGCTCAAACTGAAAGATGTCCTACCAGGATGTCAACAACGTGAGTTCCATAATCCACAATGTGGGAACCCAATCACAGTGGGATATAGGACGTTAATGGGAGAATATGGGTTGATATTTAGGATAATGGTGGAAAAAACATTAGAGAATTATGGGATAACTATAGTAAAGCATCCCCAATAGGGGTTTATTCTTCCATGCCCCTTTTTTTTCCCGGGATTATCTAAAATGACCTCAAATGGTTGGCAAATGGGATGGTTTATTATTGGTTTTAGCACATTAATGACACAGAATACATTTGCCATGTGGCAGTGTGTCAAAACCTTGTGCCCCTGTAGTTCACATCAAAATAGCTGGGATTTATGGATGTTCATCCCCCTAAAAATGGTATTAATAGGTATTGATCCATACTCATGTATTGGTTTGGCCACCGCTGGTCTTGTTCTTTGCTTGTGACTTTGCCTGCAAGGAGCGTCACACCTCAAAGAGCATATGCAGAATACGCATTTTTGCCGCAGATGGCTCTGTCTGACATTGAAACGCCCAAAAGAGTGGTTCAAATGGTCATTTTCCGCATGAAACTTGTCAGTTTGGGGTATACCATGACCATCATGGTATACCCTGCTTTCAGACATTGGCAAATGGTACCCTCTGGTAAACGTTTACATAACTATGGAAAGATCCATCATTTTTAATGGATCGATCAACTATTTCGACTGGGCCATTTTCAATAGCAAACTGTTAGTCATTACCAGAGGCTATCTTCAATGGTATACCATGATAGTATTGCTTTCATTATCATTTACTATCATTTACCAAAAATAATGTATCATTTACCATACCCCATTGATAATGATAATATTGCTATCATCATATTGCTACCCTCTTCAATGGTCCCTCTAGGGCTGTTGACTTCTTTCCCTTTCTGACCGAGATGTTTCGCTCCGGACGCCAGGCGCTGACAATTCTGATCTTCACAGGGCCCGGATTGCAAAAACCAGTGGCATTTCAAAAAATGCACGTGCGATGACACCCTTCGGTAAACTCACATACTTTGAAAAGTAGCTATTGAAAATCGCCATTGAGTTGGATGATTCACCAAAATGGTGATTTTCCAGTTTGCAAATTCTTAGTTTACCGGGGATCCCTCAGATTCTCTCGTCGGCTGCGGAGAATCCAAGAATCCAGTCGCGAGCTAAAAGGGACCCAGTTCCACTGGCAGAAAAGGAGGCAACCTATTACAAGATGTGTTTTTTTTGTGGGGAAATATATGGAAAATATCATGGAAAATATCATGGAGGTACGATATGCAATAAGCTATCATGAAATGATGGGGATATTAATGTTCCCAACAATCTTGTATTTGGTAGTATCACATGTCATAATGTATGCCGACAAACATGTACACATGTAGATCCACATGCAGATCACATCTAGAATCTAGAGGGTGTACGGGATATTACGGGACCAGCACCCTGTGCGTGGGTGAAAAAAAATTGAGTGAACGATGATGCGTGACGCAAATACAATGAGGAATCAAATCACAAAGAAACAAAAAAATGAGTCTGACACAATCCAATGTGTGCACGCTTAACCGGAAGCAATTGCAATAGCTATTAAGTTTGGGTTTGGAGGGAGGGGGCCCTTTATTGCTCTAGAATCCTGTGTTTTTCCACGTCTTTAAGGGGACCTAAAATCGGCTTAACATGGCCCAACAAAACCCAACATAGGCCCAACATGGTCTCAACTTGGCCCAACATAGGCCCAACAGGCCCAACATGGCTCACCATAGGGCCAATATGGGCCCAACATGGGCGCAACATAGGCCCAAGATGGCCCAACATAGAGCCAACATGTGCCCAACATACCCCCCAACATGAGCCCTACAAAGGCCCAACATAGAACATACATGTTTTTTTTGGAACTTCGGAGCTAACACTCCGGTGCGGGCGGTTGTCGTCACGAAGCGACCAAAATATGGGCAAATGATATATAATACTTTGAAATACCATAAAAATGATGTAAGTAAGAATGTGAACATTGGTACCACAAAAAATGTACAATAATGTGGCCTTTGGATGAATTTGGTGCAATGCTATGCAATGCTATGCTCCCACATTCCAGCTCCACGACATGGACAAACTACTCATCCTTGTGCATCCAGACTGACCTCTCAAGATGCTTACACGGGTGTTAGCTACCAAACAAAGCTATGAATGATTGATTGGGGGATGATCCGATTTTGTATTCAAGGGGAAACATCCAAAGTCAACAAATCTTCACGTGGAGATTATACAACAATGGCGATCCATATCCAATAAGTAGAACTCCTGCAACCAGCCGAGTGGGGATTGTACATGAACGTATCCAACATCCACCGACAATGTATTCACGCGCCGCCTCATATCAAAACTTGTTGCCAGTCATGCAAGGCGTTCATCATTTACGAAGGAGAATGGAATCTTGAAGATTGTGCGTGTGAGGTCTTACAGAACTCCAAGTTGCCAGTTCCAATCTTCAGAGTGGAGCCAGTATCGAGCCAGTGCAGCAAGTGCTCCAAACAATGGCACCAGAATTGCCTGTTGGCGCCACCGGATTTTCGGTGCGCGGATGGACCATGGCTCACAATGGCCTGGCGCCAGACATGGACATCGACATCATTGACATCATCGACATCAGAATGGCTTAAAAATGCTTGTATCCCGGCAAGAGACCCCAAATACTGTTTGGCAGTGGGGAGTCAATGTACCAGATCCAAGCAACAGTAGCTATGGAACAGGAACAAATGAGGTTGGACATGGTCGCAACTGCAGCAGCAGTACCTATATAAATCTATACAGAGGAGCTCACAAAATCTTCATGCAAGAACTTCCTATGAGCATCCCAGAAGAACAAGCTCACAAGATCGTCATAAAAGGGCCTGCTGCTGCTGGAGCGGAGCTTACAAGATCTTGAGACAAGAACCTCCCAAGAGCCTCCCACAAGAGCTTTCATACAAGCAGCTGTAAGACGTGGCATCTGCAAGATACAGGATCATGCAGAGCATCTTCGAGATCTTTTGCAAGGCCTCTTACATAAATCTCCGCAAAATCTTCTCAGAAGGACCTGTGCTGTCCAAGTCGTGCAAGGACACCCAGAGGATTTTACGTCAAGATCTTCTCACAAGGGCCTGTACAAGATCATGCAAGACAGCATTTCACAGGGGCCTCCACAAGATCTTCTCAGAAGTACCTGTACAAGAGAGGATTCCGCCAAGATCATCCAAAATCTCCACAAGATCTTCTCACAAGGACAATCGTTTTGTGCGATCCTGTGCAGTCGAATGCACTTGGACATCTCACAAGAGCCATTTTATGCGAGAATTTACTGGAAAATTGCCGGAAGCCAAATGGATCACCCTGATCAAGCACCGGCCTTTACACCTACCGTAAGAACCCCTCAGTGTGGACACACTGTTTGGGGAATAATAATAATAATTCAAAAACATGTAGGATGCTTAGGATGCAAATCGTTGAAAGCTATGTCACCGAAACTGAGGGCAGCATTACCATCTGGTTATTTAACACTTCGCCATGGAAAATCACCATGCTATTAATAGGCAAACCATCTATTTCGATTAGGGCCATCTATAAATCTATCCCATGGCTATGTTAGTCATAACCAGAGGGTAGTACTACTTTCAACAGCAAACATGTCACCAAAGCCGCCAGGTCGGCTGGCTGAAAAACCGACCTCAGAGTCGGATCTTCGAAGCTCCATCCTGGATGTCATCCTTAAAGCCTCGGCATTTGCCAAGGTAAAAAAGACTAGGAAGCCCTAGTCTTAACCTGAGGAATCTTCGGATAGAATCTGAATTCTGGTGAAATCTCTTCTAAGATCCAAATCTGATGAAATGATATGAAATGTGAAACCTGAAGAGATCTGACAAAATGAGAAACTCTGAGGAAATGCGGAGAAATTCATGGAATAGTGATGAAAAGTGATGTAAAGTGGTGCAAAAAGTCATAACTGGTTGGTGGTTGAGCCCTACCCCTCTGAAAAATGATGGAGTTTGTCAGTTGGGATGATGAAATTCTCAATATATGGAAAAATAAAAAAATGTTCCGAACCACCAACCAGATAAAATCTGGTAGATTCTACAGATGAAACCTGGAGGTCCAAGATATTTTGTCTCGACCCAAGTCCATCTGACCGAAGAAATGGGCGCCTGATTTGCCTCGATAGATATCCACAATCTCTTCGAACCTGCTGGATTTCCAAAAGGCAGTGGAAATGGATAGGAAGGGGAATAGAATGGAACAGAATCAACATAGGATGATTGTAGCATATTGTAGCTATGATGGGGTGATGATTAGGAATATCATTGGCACTGGAATACCAACTTTATGAAAACGGGTGTGTCTGACTCTATAACCCCAAATAATCAGAAAATTATCATTAAGCAATGGATGGAATGGAGTACCCTATTCTCAGACAAAGCGAAAAATGAAGAATTGAACTGGATTTAGCTCATGGATGTTGATCATCCCCATGATATTGTATTACCCTCTGGTTATTTAACATAGCCGTGGTATAGATGGCCCATAGATGATTTTCCCAGCGACATCAACCTCCATTTATGGTTGGGATTTTCCATGGCGAACTGTTAGTCATAACCAGAGGCTACATCAATATCCAGAGGATCAGCAGGCCGACAGAATCATTAATCAACCAACAGGGATTCGGTTCGGAACGCTGCCCGAACATGGACCGTTAAAATGGGATGGTTTTTCAGGTGGCCAGACATTTTAATGGAAATCATGGTTTGTATTGCTTTGTAGCGTCACAAAGTCCTGGGTGTAAAAAGGGTCTGGGAGTCTTTCTTGGTTCCCAAGATTTCCCAAGTCTATCCGATTCTGGGAAGCGGCCCCGCAATGCGATGTGGCCGGAATAGCTGGGTTTTTTGTTGAGTGAAGAAATTCAATGGAAATTCAACATGCACCAGGCATATAAAATCATATACCCTCTGGTAAACGTTTACACAACTATGGAAACTCACCATTTTCAATGGGTAAATCCACTATTTCTATGGTCATCTTCCATAGCTATGTTAAATTACCAGAGGGTCAACAAGAACTTGGAGCGACGCCGCGCTCTGAAGCAACGTGCAGGTTTTGTTTGTGTCCCAAAACATCCCAACAAAAAAAACGATGTCGCCTCCCAGCCCATGATTCATGTCACATGAAAAGTCACTAATGGTTCATATATGGTTAATATATGGTAAAGTTCCAATAATGATGGTTAATATATGGTTATTCCACATCTTTAAGAACTTTTAAGTGGAAGATTGTGCCCAGCTCGGGTTGATTCATTGACTGACTCTACGTCGTTTGTACCTATGAGGCGAGCCATCCACTTTCGTCAAGAACTTGTCAAGAGCCTCGAGGGCGGATTCGCGACGGTCGAGAAAAATCTCTTGCGTTGGATCCCAAAAAAAACATCTAGCCAACAGTGGGTTATCGTGGTGGGTTCTTTGAGGGCTGGGTAGAATTCGGGAAAAATGAAAATGATATAAGTCAATATAAGTCCACCTTTTGTATCTGCCAAGATATTCTCACCCTTCGCTTTCCAAGTCCTTCCAAGCATGGCCCAGTCAGCCGCCTTCACATGGCAGTCATGCGAAAAGCGGTCAGGTGGTGCAGGATGAATACTGTCCTTCCTCAGCACACACTGTGCCGGAAACCGCTCGTTGACCAGTTGGTTAAGTCAGTACGCATGTTATATCATGTTATCATGTTCGCATGCAGGTGCGCTTGTCCAACAAACACTTGGTTCGGCAGTTCTCATTACAGGACCTGAAACTGTCATACAAATCTGTGTGAAAGAAAATTCATGAGTCACTGTGGGCATTCTATCATAAAGTTCCCAGTGCAATTGTGCTCCAGATAAGCGGACTGATCATACTTTTCAGGAACACTAGCATCGTGGCATCTCCCGCCAACAACTCTTTCTTGGGCTTCGTCTGAAAATAGAATACCCCCAATACCCCCAAATTTGGTGGTGTATCATGGTGTATCATCATATTCTCAATTTATTCCCAATTGAATGTCCGTGTTGAAAAAATCAGTGTTAAAAGAATCTGAAAAAGGGCTACCCTCTGGTGAACTAACATAGCAATTGAAAATTGCCATTAATAGTGGATTTTCCCATTAAAAATGGTGATTTTCCATAGTTTTTTGTTCGTTTACCAGAGGGTATTTGGAGACACACAATCATCAGGACCTAGATTTCTGTGCGTCAAAAAAATGATCATCCCTAATCTGATCTAAAATGGCCACCGGACAATTCATGGGGATAGGTGAGATTAATATGGATATAATATGGATATTTTATTCAATTACAATTCATGGCCAATTAAAAAAAATGTGATCATTGGAATCCTAAACTCAGAATGATGCGACGAATCCTAAAATGGCCAGTTACGAAACATGTGATTTCCACATTGCATTTCTCCCTCCTCGTCACCATCGACATTCCAAGGTGCCGATCCTCCTTAGCGACCCAGGTCTCGAAGGAAGAACGTGCGCAAGGCTCACAGGTCGTTTCGACTTCCTCAGGGAGTTGTTTTGGAGATTTTCTTCGATTGGTTTATGGAAAATCCATGGAAAATCCCATCAAAAATGGTTGCTTTACAATGGAGGATCCCCAATAGCTGGTTGGTTTATAATGGAAAAAGCCATGAAAAACAATGGATGATGTGGAGGTTTCTATAAATGGGGGTACCCCTTTATCGCTGGATGGTTTATTTCCATGGGAAAACTAGGGGTACCCTCATGACTCAGGAAACCTCCAAATATTACTAATCAATGGATTGGTTTTGTTGGGGGATTCTTTTAACCAGAAAGCCCCATATTTCATGGGAAAATCCATGGTTTCCTGTGAAGTTTTTCCAAATAAATGGATGGGGCCCGCTCTTGTCTTTGTTTAAAACCAATCCATAATGATGTTTCTTGTTTTAAGATGTGGGAAGTTTATATCAAACTAGTTGCCATCTGCTAGTTAGCATGTGTTTCACCACGCGATTCTTCATCATCTGACATTTTTATCGTGGCCACCTGGGCAGACCTGGGCAGACTGGGCAGACTGGGCAGACTGGGCCACTGGGCAGACCATCTGTGAATTTCCCCAAGGGCTGCTGATTTCACCATGGTGACTGTCACAGCAGTGTGAAACAAATCCCGTCATTCCGTCATTCCATTGGTTTTCGAAAATCCTGGTTGGTGAAATTTTGGGATTCCCCGTTCTTGGATTTCTTGGATTATGAAATCATCCCCAATTTATATGCAGGGTAGTAACCGGGTAGTATAATCCCCGAACTAATCATCCAACCAGGGGGTTTGAACACTGCTCACCAGAGGTGGGGTGATTTCCGCTATTTCTTCAATGGGACTTTGGACATGATATGTTCAATGGGTCACGTTACATAGGTTTAATATGGTTTAATGATGATTAATGGTTTATGGTCATCCCATGAAAAATGAGAATCCTTTATATACATGTTTTAACATCATGGCTAGGTTTTAAAAAAAATACCTATAAAAATGGGTTGATATAAATTTTGATGACCATCCCTGAACATGTTCATTTTGGCGTTTCCTCATTTGATCATGGGGTATTTGGTATCTGAATCTACTCATCAAAAACTGATGAAAAATGAGGACACCATGATCAAAGAAATACCATGAGGCTTCCTCATTTTTCCATGGGACGGCACAAGGCAAAGACCTTCAGAGACCATTACAAAGCCACAATGGCTGAGAAAGACTTCAATAAATAGTGCTTCAGACAGAGAAATATAATGCATATGTATATATATATATTATATTATATTATTTATATATATATATATCCACCTTTTGCTGGACCTGCTTCGGCATTTCACGCAGGCTATGACGCGGCTACTGATGTCGCCAAGTACATGACCAGTCTCTCAAGAGTTTTTAAACATGCCAGTATTGAAGGTTTCCTAAAATGAATCATCCACTTTAGATGGGGATTTTCGATTTTCTATGGATTTTCCATTAAACCTTCCATTTTGGGGGTACCCCATGATTATGGAAATCCCCGTGCATCGTTCGTAGAACTGCTTGGTGGTTGAGCCACCCCTCTGAAAAATGATGGAGTGAAAGTCACTTGGGATGATCTATTATTCCCAATGTCTGGAAAGTCATGTCATGTTCCAAACCACCAACCAGTATATCAGTTTTATCACATTTTTTCGCTTGGTCATCTCCGGGAGAGGGCCCAAAATTGATGGTTACAGCTGACCGGCTCCATATCACCACAAGAGATGGCTGTGGAGATGTCGACCATTAAAAACCAACCATTTTTTGATGGGATTTTCCATTCAAAACCATCCAGCTATTGGGGACTTCCGAATCAAAGGCCTTCGGTGGACCATTGAAACTGTGCTGCAAAATATGAATAAATATGATCCCTTCGCGACTCAAAAATCGAACTTTTTTTGGGGTGCCAAGGTTCATCTGCTGGCACATGAGGGCTAAAGAGGCTAGACCTCTCCTGTGGCAGGTAAACAATGGCAACGGTCATCCAGGGATAGATGAGATGTTTTTCATGTGTAGAGGCTACAGCCAACCAGCCCTCGCATGTCAACAAGAGGTCTCATCCGAACTGGTGGCAACAGGTATATCATGGTATATCTGCAACGCACCCCCAAAGTGGTGGTAGTTGTTTCAATGCGGTTCAATCGCAAGGGTGAAATCCAGAATCTTCATCGATCATTGCGCCATGCTCAGCAGAAAGTGCAACGTCTAACCCCTCCGTAGAAAGAACTTGGTGTCTCTTGAAATCGGGTGGTTCCTTCACAAGTTTAACATGTCTCACACTGTCTTGAAGTCTTAGCCATTAAAGATCAATATATAAAGATTAAGGAAGACCTTTCACGGAAATTCCAATTATTTAAAATCATGTGCACACATCAGTTGTACTATCTGGGAAGGCTTTCAATGGATATTACTTGGGAATCTTGGGACAATTAGATGTGCACTATCGACTATCGCGAACTGACTTGCAGCAAGACTCAGCCCCATGTTCGAAGTTTTTCCGAGTTCCAACAGGTTTCCTTAGCTAAATAAGCTGCAATGGCCATTGAAAAGCTTCGTGACTTGCACATGTGTAGTAGCGCTGCACTGCAACCTTAAACGTGAAACATCAAGGTCTCCAAATATATCCAAATATCATCTGATATCAATCTCGATAATTACACAGCAGCTCGAAAAAAACAAAATGGATATCTAATAATATCAATATGGATAATATATGGATAATATATGGATAATATGTGGATAATATATGGATAATATATGGATAATATATGGATAATATATGGTTAATATATGGATAATATATGGATAATAATGGATAATATGTGGATAATATCTGGTTAATATATGGATCATATATGGATAATATATGGATAATATGTAGATAATATATGAATAACATGCAGATAATATATGGATAATATGTAGGTAATATATGGATAATATGTAGATAATATATGGATAATATGTAGATAATATATGGATAATATGTAGATAATATATGGATAATATATGGATAATATATGGATAATATATGGATAATAATGGATAATATGTGGATAATATATGGATCATATATGGATCATATATGGATAATATATGGATAATATGTATATAATATATGGATAATATGTAGATAATATATGCATAATATGTAGATAATATATGGATAATATGTCGGTAATATATGGATAATATGTAGATAATATATGGATAATATGTAGATAATATATGGATAATATGTAGATAATATATGGATAATATGTGGATAATATATGGATAATATGTGGATAATATATGGATAATATATAGATAATATATGGAAAATATGTAGATAATATATGGATAATATGCAGATAATATATGGATAATATGTAGATAATATATGAATAACATGCAGATAATATATGGATAATATGTAGGTAATATATGGATAATATGTAGATAATATATGGATAATATGTAGATAATATATGGATAATATGTAGATAATATATGGATAATATGTGGATAATATATGGATAATATGTAGATAATATATGGATAATATGTAGATAATATATGGATAATATGTAGATAATATATGGATAATATGTGGGTAATATATGGATAATATGTGGAGGATATATGGATAATATGTGGATAATATATGGATAATATGTGGAGGATATATGGATAATATGTGGATAATATATGGATAATATGTGGATAATAATGGATAATATGTGGATAATAATGGATAATATGTGGATAATAATGGATAATATATGGATAATATATGGATAATAATGGATAATATGTAGATAATATATGGATAATATGTGGATAATATATGGATAATATGTGGATTATATATGGATAATATATGGATAATATGTGGATAATAATGGATAATATGTGGATAATAATGGATAATATGTGGATAATATATGGATAATATGTGGATAATATATGGATAATATGTGGATTATATATGGATAATATATGGATAATTTATGGATAATAATGGATAATATGTGGATAATATATGGATAATATGTGGATAATATATGGATAATATGTGGATTATATATGGATAATCTATGGATAATATGTGGATAATAATGGATAATATGTGGATAATATATGGATAATATATGGATAATATGTGGATAATATATGGATAATATGTGGATAATATATGGATCATATATGGATCATATATGGATAATAATGGATAATATGTGGATAATATATGGATAATATGTGGATCATATATGGATTATATGTGGATAATATGTGGATAATATATGGATCATATATGGATCATATATGGATAATAATGGATAATATGCGGATAATATATGGATAATATATGGATCATATATGGATAATAATGGATAATAATGGATAATATGTGGATAATATATGGATCATATATGGATCATATATGGATAATAATGGATAATATATGGATAATATATGGGGGATAATAATGGATAATATGTGGATAATAATGGATAATATGTGGATAAGATATGGATAATATATGGATAATATATGGATAATAATGGATAATATGTGGATAATATATGGATAATATGTGGATAATATATGGATAATAATGGATTATATGTGGATAATATGTGGATAATATATGGATCATATATGGATCATATATGGATAATAATGGATAATATGCGGATAATATGGATAATATATGGATCATATATGGATAATAATGGATAATATGTGGATAATATATGGATAATAATGGATATCTAATAATATCTTAGGTTTGTCACGCCGTGGAAATCCACGCTCGGATAGGTCAGGCGAGCCATTGGTACCATTGTCGATTAGTTCCTTAGCTAAGTTGGTGCAAATAACTCCAATAACTATGGTTTATGGTAGATATATCAATATTTAACTATGGTTTATAAACCAACTTATAACTGGGGGGCACAACTGAGTCCTAACTGAATCTAAAGACTGCTGTCAAGCTTCGCACTGCAACATCCCATGCGGTATTGCAAAAAGAGTCGGACCGGCAGTGCGTCTTGATAACTTCTGAGCCAAAATCCACACAGTGCGGACTTCACGGACAGGGAAAGCTGCTTCACGCATGGAGGTTTCATGTTCCCCGCATCGGTGTGTCTATTTAAAAAGAACTCATTGAAAACGAACTTCGAGAAAGTTATATCGCAAAAGAAGAATCGTTAAAGCCCATCTCAAGAAAAACCCAACAGAGTTCACAAAACACATAGGCGTCTCACTCTCAGGTGATAGATCTGCTACGTCCTCTTCCATGCACAATCGCACCAATTTGAAGCCATCAATCTGTGAAATGAAAATCATGAAAGTATCCTCAACAGGAAGATGATGATCCCCATATCCCATGGTTGATCATCATAAATGTATTTATATATATATGTGTGATTATACATAAATGATCATAAATGTATATATATATATGTATGATATATGATAAATTATCATATATATATATTGTAGTTATATATAATCACTTAAATATCTTCCAGCCTCCAAAATGCCGCAGAAATCTCTCAGATCACCATCAACAGCGCACAGATCCCAAGGGATGTCAAACCATATGATTTCGCGCAAGGGATGCCAGCCCTTCTTCACAACGCTGCTCAAAGAAAAATCCTTTTGCAAAAATGCTAGACATGATTAGACATGTTAGACATATGAGAACTTTGGAAAGCCATATCAGTTATCCATGGATCCGGCATGATCCGGCTATCCCAAGCACAATTGTAGAGATCTATCCACATCCCAACCAGTTCTCCTGAGGTTAAAGTCTCTTGTCCGCGGGTCAAGACTTCAGCTGCCCTGGACAAGGGCTGTCCAAATATGGGCGGAATTTGCATTGCATAGCAGCTATCGATTCTATATAATTCTATACATATTATCATATGTATATATGTGTATATATATATAATTCCATATTGTAGATGCATTTTTTACATGCATTATAGATGTATTATAGATTATAGATAGAATGCATTGGTTTTCATGAATGTTAATGATGCTGGCGGCTCGATCTCAGGACACTCAGCCACCATCCCTGACCATCCCTGACCATCCCTGAGACCGACAGTAGCGATGAAGTGGATGAAGTTGATGGCTGAACACTTGGATGAAAGTTTGGCATGATCTATCTGATCTATCTATATACTATATATATATACATATTTATATCTATATATATATAATATATGTATATATCATATGTCATCATATCTATCTCATAGATAATGAAATGATTCATCATGTTTCCCGTGCATCTCCATGAAAAATCATGAACATCTATCGCAACATTTTACCACCATCCATGTCTTGAATTGCTGATTTCAGCCTGATCCAGCTGAATCCGCCTCCGGATCAGCTGGGTGATGTGCTTTAAATCCTGGCGGGTGAATTTTCAGGTCCAACAATTCATGCACTGATGATACCCAGGGATGAAAAGACGCAAACATACGCAAAGACTACCCTCTGGTAATCTGATAATTTCACATAGTTATTGAAAATTGCCATTTTAGCTCATTGATTTACAGTACCCATTAGAAATGGTGATTTTCCATGGTTTTCTGTATGTTTACCAGAGGGTATCTTCACGATGAAACGTAGACTTTCTACATCTTCTCCCCGGTGAGATAGATCAAGGCATCACCTTTGCATGCCTTCAGGTTTCCCCTGGGGGGCGCTGTGGGGAACCCTAACCTTGAAATCTTCCATAACCAATGCTTGAAACGGAGTGAATCTGTCAGTGGCAAACTCCTGGCCCCCTGACATGAAAACATCCACGGACGCCACTTACTCTGGGATTCCTGGCAATTTATTGCTGCCAACCGATCAATCTGGGTGTGTATCCAACTGTGACCAACAGCAACCAACAAACCGAGGGGAACTGACCAAATAAAAACATCTAAGTATTAACCTAATGTCCAAACCTTCCAAAACATGATTCATCACACCTGTTTTAACACCAAAATGACCGAAAAATGTGAGTAAAACAACAGTAAAACATCCCCAATTTTATGATTGCCATCCATTGGGCGGTTTTCATCCTTGTAATGAAAAATATGGTAAAATACCATCAAAATCGTGATATACCCCTAAATCATCCATTTTCTACCAGTCGTACCGCACAAGGCGGTGGCGGATGTTTCAAAAATAGGAAACCTATAGGAGAGGTTGGTGGCTGTAGTGGTTGCAATGTTTGCAGTGGTCACCTCACCACAACTGCTGGATACAGTGTGGTGTAGCGCGGTTGTAGTTGTAGTTGTAGCTGTAGTGTAATGTAGCGTAGTGGAGTTGTAGTTGCAATGTTGTGTAATAAGTGTAGTGTAGTTGCTGTTGCAGTTGTAGTTGTAGTTGTGGTGTGGTGTAACTAGTGTAGTGTATTATAGTGTACTGTAGCGTTGTGTACTGTAGTGTGGTATAGTGCAGTGTAGTCTAGTGTAGTGTAGTTGTAGTTGTAGTGTGGTGTAGTGTAAGTAGTTTAGTGTCGTGTAGTGCAATTTAGTGGTAGTTGCAATTGTCAAAGGAAGTTTAGGGGGAGAAACTTCCGTGTTACGGACTTTTAGAATGTCAGGGAAAGAGTTAATCAAAGAAAGAGTTAGTGAGGGAAAGAGTTAGTCAAAGAAAGAGTTAGTGAGGGAAAGAGTTAGTCAAAGAAAGAGTTCGTCAGGGAAAGAGTTAGTCAAAGAAAGAGTTAGTGAGGGAAAGAGTTAGTCAAAGAAAGAGTTAGTCAAAGAAAGAGTTAGTCAAAGAAAGAGTTAGTCAAAGAAAGAGTTAGTCAAAGAAAGAGTTAGTGAGGGAAAGAGTTGGTCAAAGAAAGAGTTAGTCAAAGAAAGAGTTAGTGAGGGAAAGAGTTAGTCAAAGAAAGAGTTAGTGAGGGAAAGAGTTAGTCAAAGAAAGAGTTAGTTAGGGAAAGAGTTAGTCAAAGAAAGAGTTAGCAAAGAAACAATTAGTCAGGGAAAGAGTTAGTCAGTCAAAGAAAGAGTTAGTGAGGGAAAGAGTGAGTCACAGAAAGAGTTAGCAAAGAAATTGTTCCCTCATTGTAAATGGGATTGCAAGTGGTGCTGGTGGAGGAGTTGCCGATGGAGTTTTGAAGGAAGTCTCGCACGAAATGCGTTTTTGAGAGATAGCAGATGCACGAAAGCCTATGTTTTTCCATACAAAGTCCGTCCCCGAACCTCGATGATCTACCTCTGCGGTGCGACGGTTGCGAGACGGTCTCGTGTGTGGTCGGATCATTCTCGGATCATGCTCGGATCATTCTCGGATCGTTTCCGCATTGTAAATGGGGTGTCACCTGTGTTTCGTGCATTTGTGGTCGACAGAATTCCATTGTGATTTGCAACTGTAGGATCGTTCCCGCATTGTAAATGGGGTTGCAAGTGGTGCTGGTGGATGAGTTGCTGATGGAATTCCATTGTGATTTGCAACTCTAGGATCGTTCCCGCAATGTAAATGGCATTGCAAGTGGTGCTGGTGGAGGAGTTGCCGATGGAGTTTTGGAGGAAGTCTCGCACGAAATGCGTTTTTGAGAGATAGCAGATGCACGAAAGCCTATGTTTTTCCATACAAAGTCCGTCCCCGAACCTCGATGATCTACCTCTGCGGTGCGACGGTTGCGAGACGGTCTCGTGTGTGGTCGGATCATTCTCGGATCATGCTCGGATCATTCTCGGATCGGTTCCGCATTGTAAATGAGGTGTCACCTGTGTTTCGTGCATTTGTGGTCGACAGAATTCCATTGTGATTTGCAACTGTAGGATCGTTCCCGCATTGTAAATGGGGTTGCAAGTGGTGCTGGTGGATGAGTTGCCGATGGAATTCCATTGTGATTTGCAACTCTAGGATCGTTCCCGCAATGTTAATGGGATTGCAAGGTTGCTTCCTGCTTTGGCTGCATACGTAATACTATTGTCTTTTGCAGCTGGACTTCGTAAATCGTATTGGAGTGGCTGCATGAAGGCTGCGACAGTGATTTGTCAGTAGATTTTCTCCATTTTGGCGCTAGTGATTTTCCTTCTAAAAATCCTTTTAAAAAGTGCTTCCAAATCGTCTTTTTTTCGCTCTGGCGTCGAGATCCGGTTTTGGAGCTACAATTTCCGACGCCGTTGCGCGTAGTTCTATTGTGTTTTGCAACTCAGTCTCTGCAGATCGCATTGTAATGGCTGCGTCAAGGTTGCTTCGTGCTGTGGCTGCATTTGTCATACTATTGTCTTTTGCAGCTCGACTTCGTAAATCGTATTGGAGTGGCTGCATGAAGGCTGCGACATGGATTTGTTAGCAGATTTTCTCCATTTTGGCGCTAGTGATTTTCCTTCTAAAAATCCTTTTAAAAAGTGCTTCAAAATCGTCTTTTTTTTTTCGCTCTGGCGTCGAGATCCGGTTTTGGAGCTACAATTTCCGACGCCGTTGCGCGTAGTTCTATTGTGTTTTGCAACTCAGTCTCTGCAGATCGCATTGTAATGGCTGCGTCAAGGTTGCTGCGTGCTGTGGCTGCATTCGTAATACTATTGTCTTTTGCAGCTCGACTTCGTAAATCGTATTGGAGTGGCTGCATGAAGGCTGCCACAGTGATTTGTCAGCAGATTTTCTCCATTTTGGCGCTAGTGATTTTCCTTCTAAAAATCATTTTGAAAAGTGCTTCAAAATCGTCTTTTTTCCGCTCTGGCGTCGAGATCCGGTTTTGGAGCTACAATTTCCGACGCCGCTGCGCGTAGTTCTATTGTGTTTTGCAACTCGGTCTCTGCAGATCGCATTGTAATGGCTGCGTCAAGGTTGCTTCGTGCTGTGGCTGCATTTGTCATATTATTGTCTTTTGCAGCTCGATCTCGTAAATCGTATTGGAGTGGCTGCATGAAGGCTGCGACATGGATTTGTTAGCAGATTTTCTCCATTTTGGCGCTAGTGTTTTTTTGTTGCACGTAGGTTTAGAGCAGTGTGAAGTGTGGGGCGTGAAGAGTGAAGTGTGAGGTTTGGAGTGTGAAGGAAGCAGTGAGAAGTGTGAAGTGTGGACTGTGAAGTGTGAAGTGTGAGTGAAGTGTGGAGTGTGAAGTGCGAAGTGAGAAGTGTGGAGTTTGGAGTGTGAAGGAAGCAGTGAGAAGTGAGAAGTGTGAAGTGAGAAGTGTGAAGTGTGGACTGTGAAGTGTGGAGTTTGAAGTGCGAAGTGAGAAGTGTGAAGTTTGGAGTGTGAAGGAAGCAGTGAGAAGTGAGAAGTGTGAAATGTGGAGTGTGAAGTGTGAAGTGTGAAGTGCGAAGTGAGAAGTGTGGAGTGTGAAGTGTGAAGTGTGGACTGCGAAGTGTGAAGTGTTAAGTGTGGACTGTGAAGTGTGAAGTCTGAAGTGTGGACTGTGAAGTGTGAAGTGTGAAGTGTGGATTGTGAAGTGTGAAGTGTGCAGTGTGAAGTGTGAAGTGTGAAGTGTGAGGTTTGGAGTGTGAAGAAGCAGTGAGAAGTGAGAAGTGTGGAGTGTGAAGTTTGAAGTTTGGAGTGCGAAGAGTGCAGTGTGCAGTGTGAGGTGTGGAGTGTCGAGGGAAGGACACGGTCGGGACAGGGTGTCTTTGAACTATAGGTCATTTATGTTTGGGAAACTTCCGCCGCCGGCTTGCCCGGGTCTATGTTATCAGATCCATCTTATGTTTTGAAGTCTCCGAAATCATTCCAAATCCTGCCGTGCCGAAGACACCTGAAACTCGATGGAAGTGTTTGGACTGGCGAATCTCCCGCCAATGCTGCCGCGTTTCTTGACCTTAGTGAGTTGGTGCTGTTTCTTTTGAACCAAACATCACCATTCATCACCATACCAACCCATCACCATCCGTTCACCGCATCCATCCATGAATTCTTCGTGACTTGTACGTTGGCCTTGTAAGCACCCAGCTACACAACTTGTTGCCAGCTGAGTGACTGAGGCGGGTATATCTGCGATTGTAGCTGCTGCTGACTGCCGCCAATTGCCTCCATGGCGAAAAGTCACCGAAATAAAGCCCGGCAGCCCCAACCAAGACACTCAATACACTCAATATCTGTTCAGATTAACAAGTCACAATAAGTCACCAACTTCCCAATCTTTGTCTGGAAGTACACACAAGTGTCCATGAAACTGAATTTGGATGCGTAAACTGATTTAACTGACGTTTGCTTCATGAAATTCGCACCTCTGAAACTCTTCATTTGTCATGGTCTCCATCTTCTGCTGGAAAATCTGCAGCCATTCTTCGATACAACGGTCCACTTCTCGGGGGCTCAAACGGCAGCCTTGCACTGCGATGCAGAGTCCTAACATCAAAATCCATCAATGTCTGACACGGAGGTTTCAAGCGCACCATTCAGTGACTTCAAAGAATGCCAGTGGTTCCTCACCATGCGTTGGTGCTAGAGGTTGACAGCATGTGCAGCCGTCCTGAAATATTGTTCTCACACCAGTGCCTTGCCTGCATCAGAACGGTAAGTAGGAAGGGTTAGTGACACAGGCTAACACGGATTGAAAAAAATGTAGTGTGTGCATATATATATATAAATATATATATATACACACACATACAAACATATAACAAGTATATTGTATGTATTACATTATTTACCATACATAAAGAGTCCGGGCATGATCGTCCGCAAATCGAATCAACTATTAAGCTGTTAGGAGAAACTGTCAAGCTATTAAGCTTTTAAACTGACAAACTGTTAGGGCAAGCTGTTAAGCTATTGAGCCGTTAAGCTGTTTGGAGAAGCCGTTAAGCTATTAAACTGTTAAGCTATTAAACTGTTTGGAGAAGCCGTTAAACTATTAAACTGTTAAGCTATTAAACTGTTTGGAGAAGCCGTTAAGCTATTAAACTGTTTGGAGAAGCCGTTAAGCTATTAATCTGTTAAGCTATTAAGCTGTTTGGAAAAGCCGTTAAGCTATTAATCTGTTAAGCTATTAAGCTGTTTGGAAAAGCCGTTAAGCTATTAATCTGTTAGGCTATTAAGCTGTTTGGAAAAGCCGTTAAGCTATTAAGCTATTAAGCTATGAAGCTATTAAGCTGTTAGCGGATTAGCTTAATAGCTTGATAGCTTATTCTAAAAACTCAATAGCTTAATAGCTTATTCTAATAGCTTAATCGCTCAATGAAGTAATCGCTTATTAGCTTATTCTAATAGCTTAAAAGCTTAATAGCTTAATAGCTTAAGAGCTTAAAAACTGATTCTAATAGCTAAATAGCTGAATAGCTTATTCAAATAGCTAAATAGCTTAATAGCTTATTTCAATAGCTTAATCGCTTAGTCGCTTGTCCTAAAAGCTCAATAGCTTAATACCTTATTTTAATAGCTTAATAGCTTAGTCGCTTATTCTAATAGCTGAAAGGCCTAGCCCTGATCCTAATAGCTTAATAGCTTATTCTATTGCCTTAATAGTTTTTTCCAATAGCTTAATACCTCAATAGCTTATTGTAATAGCTTAATCGCTTAATAGCTTATTGTAATAGCTTAATCACAACCCAGCACTGAGCGAAATATCACCATGCCGTTACCAGCCTTTTTTGTCGAACAGCCGCAAGGTTTGATGCAGTGGTTTGCTGTTGTCGGCCGTCTTCAGTGGAAATTGCCCTGAACGCCGTGAAACTTCCTTTGGTTTTATGTTGGCGCAAGCAACGCAACGTCAGAGACATTTGAGCACCATGTTCCATGTGACAACACAACACCTTAGGAAACAGCACCGTACATTGAGGACCATCTTTCTGGTTCGCAAAATCATGCCCCAGCGGCTTGCTGTGTGTGGAAAGCCCTGAATCAAATGGTATCAGCAGGGGGCCAAGAACCCAGACAGCATGGGGGTGAAAACGTACCTGCGAACGTCTAATTTCGGACATGGCCAGGTGGCGAAGCCATAAACCACCCACGCCGACATGACATGGTGACATAACATAGCATGATTTCATTTCATCTCATTTCATGCCATTTCATCCTCTTCCTTCAAGTGCATGGACACCTGGTATTTTCACTACTGGTAACTCACACATTCTGAAGGCATGAGAAGACCACTCTTGGACGCCAGGCCTTCATCTCTCTCTTCTCTCTCTCTTCTCTATCAAATCTTCTCTATCAAATCTTCTCTATCAAATCTTCTCTATCTCTCTTCTCTATCTCTCTTCTCTCTCTCTCTCTTCTCTCTCTCTCTCTTCTCTCTCTCTCTCTCTTCTCTCTCTCTTCTCTCTCTCTTCTCTCTCTCTCTTCTCTCTCTCTTCTCTCTCTCTTCTCTCTCTCTTCTCTCTCTCTTCTCGCTCTCTCTTCTCTCTCTCTTCTCTCTCTCTTCTCTCTCTCTTCTCTCCTCTCTCTCTCCTCTCTCTCCTCTCTCTCTTCTCTCTCTCTCTCTCTCTCCTCTCTCTCTCTCTCTCTCTCCCTCTCTCTCTCCCTCTCCTTCCCTCCCTCCCTCTCCCTCCTCACGATCTGCACCACACCACTGCTGAAAAACTTGATGCTAAGATCTCCGAACTTGTTCTGGCGAACGTCCTGAATCATGCTGAAAGTCAACGATGCTTGCTCATCTGCGTCCTGTGCAATGCGGACCACGGCATGCTACGGAATGTTCTGATCTGAACATTTATACCTAATCATGCTGCGATGTGAATGGCAGCAATTTTCAGTCTTGTCTAATGCCAACATTCGGTATACTGGTTGTCGGGAAAATTCCGGAACGGTCCTGTTGGCCTCTGAGCTGCAGGAGTTCCTCACAAATTCTCCCGATGGTGAGGTGCTGTGCCCTCTCCGTCTAGTTCTCATTCTGGGCGGAGGCATGGCTTCCCTTCTTGGCACCCGGAAGCAGGAACCTCAGGTGTCATGGGTGCAGCTGGGCTCAAGCGAGGTACCTATACATACGTGTCAAGCTTAACACGGTGCGACAAGCGGCTGAGAGTTCGTTTTCCTCCAGAAGTACAGTGGAATCAAGTCAAGCTTCTGGTCATAGCAATGCTCGGAGATGAAATCGCGCGCGTGCTGCAAAGTCCTGGTGGATACCCGTCTGCAGATACCCACAAACCGGGGAAGATCCAAGACTTTCTGAGACAATGACGGGTATTCTTTCAACAGGGCAGTCTGGAACTCATCGACCGTCAGTGCTACACGGTCGGAGCCGCATAGGACCGCGAGTTCGATGCATGACAGATTGGTGAACTCCTGTCGCCGCAGGCAGCTAGCGACGCCACGAACAATGGCATCCTGTTCCCCTGCGACCGGCTGAGAGCCAGCAGCCAGGGAGGACACTCATTTCCAGCGAAGCCTCGGTGCGCAATCTTCCCAGGTTGAAACTACAGATCGTGAGCGCTGCATCTTGAAAGCTGTTGATCAAAGCATTATTACACATACATGATTCTCTATCCATGAAGTTCGGAGAATGGAATCCATGACAATTTCGAGTCACCGAATCTCACAGGCAGCCGAGGAGCAGTACTTCATCATGCAATGTCCTGCGTCATTCTTGCGAGAGATACACGTCTCACACTGTCCCACAGATATATGAGTATGTCTAACATTATTCTCCCACTGATGTTGCGAAGTTCATGAGCAAACTCCCATCCAAAAATGTGCCTCGCCTTGTCCCACACTGATGTTACGACATGCGGCGACGTACTCAAGCTGGCTTCCCATATCTAAAACCACACTGATGTTGAAGTACATGAGTACTTGGTCAAGTTGGTGAAAAATTGACCAACTTGGTCAAAAGTTGGTCGAATTGATCAACATTTGACCAACTTGGTGAAGTTGGCCAATTGGTCAAAGGTTGGTCAGGTTGGTTAAAAAATTGGCCAACTTGGTCAAGTTGGTCAAAAATTCACCAAATTGGTCTAATTGGAAAAATTGACCAACTTGCCAGAAGTTGGTCGAGTTGGTCAAAAATTGACAAACTCGATCAAATTGGCCCGAAGTTGGTCAAGTTGGTCGAAAATTGACCAACTTGGTCAAATTGGTGACAAATTGACCAGCTTGGTTAAAAGTTGGTCGAGTTGGCCAACAATTAACCAGCTTGGTCAAGTTAGTCAAAAATTGACCAACTTGGTCAAGGTGGTAAAAAAAATAGCCAACTTAGTCAGAAATTGACTAACTTGGTCAAGTTGGTAAAAAATGGGTTAAAAGTTGGTCAAATTGGTCAAAAGTTGGTCAAGTTGGCCAAAAATTCACCAACTTGGTGAAATTGGTCAAAAGTTGGTAAAGTTGGTCAAAAACTGACTAACTTGGTCAAGTTGGCCAAAGGTTGTTCAAGTTGATCAGAAATTGATCAAGGTCGAAAGTTGGTCAAGTTGGTCAAAACTAGACCAACTTGGTCAAATTGGCCAAAAGTTGGTCAAGTTGGTCAAGTCAAAAATTGACCAACTTGGTCAAGTAGGTCAAAAGTTTGTCAAGCTGGTCAAGAATTGACCAACCTGGTCAAGTTGGTGAGAAATTGACCAACTTGGTCAAAAGTTGGTCAAGTTGGTCAAAAGTTGGTCAAGTTGGCCAAAAATGCACCAACTTGGTTAAATTGGTCAAACGTTGGTAAAGTTGGTCAACAATTGACTAACTTGGTCAAGTTGGTCAAAGGTTGGTCAAGATGGTCAGAAATTGATCAAGGTCAAAAGTTGGTCAAGTTCGTCAAAAATAGACCAACTTGGTCAAAATTGCGCACTTGTTCGCGAATAAAAAATGCTCGGATGATCTTCGATGTTGTTTGCTCAAAATCACACTTGTTCCATCCCACCGCCGTCACAGCGACCACAACCACTTGCAGTCATTGGATGTCATTGGGACGCCTGTGGCCCCAAACTGATTTAACATGGTTTAACTATGTTTAGCTAAGCGCGCATGCATGTTCTGACCACAAACAGAAAAGGAAATGAACCAAAAATTGGCAACAAAAGGATGGACTGCAGGTGGAAGGTGCTCAAATGGCAACATGTACCAAAACAACCCTCGTATGGAAATAAAGGCTTCAGCAGTGGTTGTGCCCAACACCCCTCTGCCGTCAGTTGACAAAAAGCATTCCAGCAGGGCAATACTACTTCTTGGTGCACTATTTATTTTCTTACCTTAAAAAGAGGCAACTTGAAAATCAACACTTGACAGCATGGGTCTTCTTGGAAATGGGATTGGTGGATCGTGACGCATCAAAAATTCTGCATATAGTCACTTAAAAAAATACCTTAATAGCTTACTCTAATAGCTCAATACCTTAATAGCTTATTCTAATAGCTTAATACCTTAATAGCTTATTCTAATAGCTTAATACCTTGATAGCTTATTCTAATAGCTTAATACCTTAATAGCTTATTCTAATAGCTTAAAACCTTAATAGCTTATTCTAATAGCTTAATACCTTAATAGCTTATTCTAATAGCTTAATACCTTAATAGCTTATTCTAATAGCTTAATACCTTAATAGCTTATTCTAATAGCTTAATACCTTAATAGCTTATTCTAATAGCTTAAAACCTTAATAGCTTATTCTAACAGCTTAATACCTTAATAGCTTATTCTAATAGCTTAATACCTTAATAGCTTATTCTAATAGCTTAATACCTTAATAGCTTATTCTAATAGCTTAAAACCTTAATAGCTTATTCTCATAGCTTAATACCTTAATAGCTTATTCTAATAGCTTAATACCTTAATAGCTTATTCTAATAGCTTAATACCTTAATAGCTTATTCTAATAGCTTAATACCTTAATAGCTTATTCTAATAGCTTAATACCTTAATAGCTTATTCTAATAGCTTAATACCTTAATAGCTTATTCTAATAGCTTAATACCTTAATAGCTTATTCTAATAGCTTAAAACCTTAATAGCTTATTCTAACAGCTTAAAACCTTAATAGCTTATTCTAATAGCTTAATACCTTAATAGCTTATTCTAATAGCTTAATACCTTAATAGCTTATTCTAATAGCTTAATACCTTAATAGCTTATTCTCATAGCTTAATACCTTAATAGCTTATTCTAATAGCTTAATACCTTAATAGCTTATTCTAATAGCTTAATACCTTAATAGCTTATTCTAATAGCTTAATACCTTAATAGCTTCTTCTAATAGCTTAATACCTTACTAGCTTATTCTAATAGCTTAATACCTTACTAGCTTATTCTAATAGCTTAATACCTTAATAGCTTATTCTAATAGCTTAATACCTCAAATAGCTTATTCAAATAGCTTAATACCTTAATAGCTTATTATTAATACCTTAATAGCTTATTCTAATAGCTTAAACCTTAATAGCTTATTCAAACTAACCTTAATAGCCTTAGCTTCTAGCTTATTAATACCTTAATACTTAGCTTAATACCTCTTATTCTAGTAGCTTAATACCTTAATAACTTATTCTAATAGCTTAATACCTTTAATTAATAGCTTATTCTAAGGCTTAATACCTTAATAGCTTATTCTATAGCCCTTAATAGCTTAATAGCTTAATACCTTATAGCTTATTCTTATAGCTTAATACCTTAATAGCTTAATATCTAATAGCTTAATAGCTTCTTAATAGCTTATTCTAATTCTAGCTTAATACCTTAATAGCTTATTCTAAGCCTAGCTTAATACCTTAATAGCTTAATACCTTACTAGCTTATTCTTATAGCTTAATACCTTAATAGCTAATTCTTATAGCTTAATACCTTAATAGCTTATTCTAATAGCTTTACTAGCTTATAGCTTATTCTTAATACTTAATACCTTAATAGCTTATTCTAATACTTAATACCTTAATAGCGTTAATTACCTACCTTAATACCTGAATACCTTAATTTAATACCTTAATACTAATAGCTTAATACCTAATGATAGCTTAATTCTAAATAGCTTATTAACCTTAATAAATAGCTTAATAGCTTCAATAATAGCTTAATACCTTAATAGCTTTAATACCTAATACCTTAATAGCTTGAACAGCGTTGCGGCGACGACCCTGCTGGCGCAATGCATACATATAGTATCTATTCCAACTGGTTTCAACTGGTTTCAGCATCTGCCTCCACATTGTATCCCAGCTGCAGCCTGAGTGCTCTCTCCGGAGGATTTTGGCAAGGATTCTGTGCAGGTCACTATTTTTGATATTTCATGAGATGGCCCACAAATCACTCTACATCTTCAACTCTTGAGCATAGGAATCATAGGAATCACAACGTATCAGTAGATATCACATGATAAAATCAGAATCACAAGATATCAGAAGCTTTCTCAGACTTTCTCTGATCTTCTCTGTTTCCTTAAGGATTTCGCAGCTTTCACCCAGTGACTCTGTGCGTAGGCGCTGAAATGCCGAAGGCTCCGCTGCGTGGCACAGGAAGAGCAACTGTGCCTCGTGCCGCAGATCGGAGGCCTCGCATCCCCAAATGCAAAGATTTTCTGAATCGAACCATAGCACTTGGGAAAAATCAGTTGCCAGTGCTCAGACTTTGAGACTTCCGAGCATATCAAGTGGCGCTTCAAGTGCCCGGGAAGCCAAGAGCAACGCAATGAACCATTCCAGGACATTCACAAGTCTGATGAAAGATATGAAAGGAGTCCATAGATCAGCCATCTTCAGCCCAAGAAAATCATAACATGATCACAGTGATCACAGTGTGATCACAGTGATCACTGAATCACAGGATGTGTCCGCATGTGTCACACAGGCTTGCTCATCTCTGATTCTTCAAAATCTCAGCTGAGAAACTGAACCCACTTGGTAGAAGTTCGTTGTACAGCTGTTTTTCCTCAGAGTGATTCTGGAGTGAAAAGGTCAAACTAGATCTTGTAATCATAAGATCCATACAAGCTGAAATCGCCATTGCACCAAACATGGCTACGTCAACAGATTCAGAGACCCAAGGTATTTCAATGTCCAATATGTGTGTCCAACACATGATAAAATATCTCATTCCAATTTGAGCCCAGTTTTCTGCTGCGGATTTTCATCTAGGTCCATCTGGAAGACGGTGCTTTGCGGCGGCAACTCAATGGTTTCTTGCTGCCACACCTTCTGCAGCACGTCTCCTGGGATCTTCTGCAGGACTTCCGTGCAGGCCACGGCTACGTGTTCTTCGATATTGCCGTGCCTCGAAAAAAAAGATGTGGCAAAACCAGTGGCAAAACATGTGGCAATGGATTGGTTGAAGGGAAAATTTGCAGGAAACCCCCATATTTAATGGGAAAATCTATGGTTTCCTGTAGATTTTCCCTTAAACCAATCCATTGAATGTGGCAAAACATGTGTCAAACCGAGGCTAAGCCACACCAGCGCTTGGATCTTCACTTCTTGCAATGCAATCTGCAGAGCACTTCCCAGTTGGACAAGGGATATTGGTCGCCTTAGAGTCTTAGAACTGGACATGTTGGTTGTCATATCAGTACCCATATGTCTCATATATGTCTCATATATGTCTCATATATGTCTCATCTATGTCTCATATATGTCTTATATATATATATATATGTATGATATATGTCTGATTCATATATTCCCACATGTTACGTTCTGCGGCTCTCTGTTTGCGGTGGTCGGATGTCCAAGGCACCGGAGAACTGGTAGATAGTCTTGAAAATTCCAAGCGTCGCGACTCCTGCAGAAATTCTCCCAGCGTCGATCCCGGAGTCTTTGGACACAGTTTGACACTGCTCAACACATTCCACGGCAGATAATTACTGTGATATCACCTTCCAAATGGCATCTGAGCTCCACAGAGATCCGGAAATACCCCTGTGGATGGTTTATCATGGTTTCTCTTTGAATGATCATTTTTATCATTCTTTATCTGAAAGAAATCTGGTCTCTGCCAAGTCACAAGACCTGCGAGAGGAAGTATTCTGCGATAATCAAGGGCTCTTCCCGAGTGAAATTCTCGTATTCCTGCAATAGGATCTGCCTGGCAGTCGGAACTTGGCATCGACCTCAACGGGCTCAACTTGCTTTCTATATCTTTCGATCTTCTAGGCATCTCACAGAGCTGGGATCCCCTCATTTCCATACTCGTTTGAGGTCCGTCAGAGATCAAACCATCAATACGACTTGCCTCTGAGTATCGAGACGATCTAGGAGCTCCATGGCATCTTCACTTGCACTGCAGCATCCGAATGCAGCACTGAGGCACCTTTTGCTTCTTGAACTTCGAGGTACATCTCCTCAAACCGTTCAACGAGAACCTCAGGTGAAGTCGGAGCGAGATGCAAGGAGCAGCTTAAAGGCTTAGGATCTTCACAGATCTTGCGATCTTACCGCCTTGCCAGATCACAGCTACGCCAGGCTATGCCAAGTAGCAGTCAGGAGCCGTGGCAGCTTGTCGTGAAAGCCGGAGACGGAGAACTGCAAATGATCTGAGAACTCGATTTTGTAGTCCAAACCCGCCAGCTGAGCATCATATAACGTGGAACTCAAATCATCATCCACCATGGCGCAGAACAAGCGCATCATCACGACCTCAAACCAGCTCACAAAGGCGTTCTGGAAGCACATTGAAAGATAAGCAAAAGATAAGCAAAACTAAGCGTATGATTATTGTGTAACTTCTCATGGTCTCATGGACAGGGAGAACAGCACAGGTTCAGAGACCTGGGCTTTGCCAAAAGTGCGATATCTCTTCGTATCCGTGGGTGGCGCTGCAATATGCTGCATGCTGAGATTAAGTGTCGCACACTGTCGGGTCCAAGGCGATACGAATTCGTCAATGCTCTCACCATGACATTGGCTCTGGGAAGTCCGAAGGAGCGATCCATCTTGTACCAAATCTCCATCATCTCCATTTCCGGTTCGGACAGCCTTGGACTTTGCCGATTTGCCGTGGCCCAAAACCTGTTCAATCTACTTGCATCTACTTGCATCTACTTGCTACCAGCGCTTTCAACCAGATGTTTTCACAGTTTCTGTAGAGCAACAGAGTAGGCATAGTTGCTTCCGCTGGGAATCTCGTTCCGCTGGTCCTGGTCATGGTCGCAATTTCCCCAATATCACAAGATATCACTGGACAACTTGGACAACCGACAATCTGGTCATATCTGGTCATATCTGGTCATATCTGGTCATATCTGGTCATAGTCCTTGCGAAGAGTTGAAGATCCTGCGGAACGAAGGGATTCAAAGCTGGAAGCTCCAAGCCGGAGTCACCTTGCAGACGTCACCGACTTTTCCGATTCCGGACTTTGAGACGCCAAAACGAAAAAAAAAAACAGAAAGAGAATGGAAGAGAAATGGGTGTAATGTAAGAGATGCTGTCTGCTAAAGAGTTTGTCACAGTTTGTGTGAAAAGAGCTCCAGCCTGGAAGATCACCGGGGCTAAAGGCGTCCTCCCGGAACGTTGTGCCGTACCACCTGAGATGCGCAGGCGCAGATTTTGGATTGGATGATCCGGGATTGCAATTATCATTGCTTATCTCTACTCTCAGACAGCTCCATGTTTTTTTTGGGTAAGCTCCGCACTTTTCGTGCTGCCACTCAGCAGTAGTAGTGAAGGAAGGACTGGTGGAGAATATGAGGCATCGCTCTGGCACAAGCAAATCCAAATACCTTTGGATCCTCAGTCTTTGAGCGGCCAAGTTGGCAACTCCAGCTTGAAACTGGCATTATGTTGAGCCCAATAATTCACTAAATACAGGTCAGTGCTGCATGTCAGTCGACAAGCAGCACATCAGGTTGCCAATCATCAAGCGCGAAAGGACCACGTAAAGCTTCTTCTGGACTATATCCTTTGCCAAAGCGACAGCATTTCTACGGTTCTGCAGGTACTTCTCCAAAAAGATTTGTGCAGCAAAAAGCAAGATATATCTTTAATGAGCTGGAATACAGTCCGTCCTGCAAGAAATCATGTTCTAGACATTATATTATATGACATAGATTGACATAGTATATCACTATATATATATATATCACTAGCCTAGTCACTAGACACATTGACATACAGGACTTTCAATGGAAATTCAACTCAAACGATGACTTTCAACGACAGTCGGAGAATATGTCGAGCTTCGATGCAAGGCCATGGCCACCTTCTCTGCGAAGTCATCTGCTTCAGGTTCGTCCTCCTGGCCAAAAAATCGTCGAGTCATTGATTTATACATCAAGTGCCATGGAATTTATCAAGTTATGTCATTAATTTATCAAGTGCCATGGAATTTATTTTATACATTAAGTGTACATTGAGTTAACATGAATTCACAATGTACGCTTTAAAAGCGTTTGAAGTTTCACGGATTTTCATCATGTTTCATTGTGTGCCATCCTTTCCTTGCGGCGCCTTGTAGGCAAACGCGATCTCTTGCAACCTGCAGTCACGATCAGAAAATCAGTCACTGACTTCAAAATGCTTCGACGTGAAGTGAAGATGTGAGGAAGTGAAGATGTGAAGTGCATGGAAGTGCCACCCCAAGTGCCAAGCCCACGTGACCTGCCATGTCTGACGTGGGACGTGGACGTGCCTCCGGATCTCCTGGAAGACTTCCTGCTGAGGCCCTGCTGCGCGGATCAAGGAGATGTAGCGGTACAACAAACCAAGGATTTCCTGCCACGGCACATGCAGCACATGCAGCATATTGCGTCGGACCATAGAGCACGAAGAAAAAACAAGGAGCAAACTGAGCAAACTGAGTAAAACAATTAAACAGGTACAAGCAAGTCATACTGTGGTCAGATCTCATCAATATTGAATTTCAGCACCCTTGTGCTAAAATATGCTAAAGTGCATCTAACTGCATCCAGCTGCACTGCTTCTAGGCACCTCTTGGTGTTCGTCTCCTTCTGGTGTCAAAATGATGTTGAGAGCAAACAGCTGCTGATTCTCGAACTCCTTGGAGTTTCACCCCTCTGGATATCGGATATCGGAAACATTGAACACGGCAGAAAGCAGGATATGGTGGATATGGCATGCAGAAGTGTTATAAAAAGGCCCGACATGGCCCGACACGGCCCAAACTTTTCAAGTGTCATACTCTGCTCCGGCAATGAGGTCATCAACCCATCCGTTGGCATTCAAGATGCTGTGTAGGGAACCTGTGGCCATTTCTGGGAGTTTGAAGCAACTCACAGCCCAAGGCTGCCAAGGCAGGTCAACCCAAAAACCACGCCTTCACCCTCATGTCCAAGAAAGTGGCTCAAATACTGCACCTTTGACAGACTTGCACAGTTTCGCCAAATTCTGTTTCAACCTGCTTTTCTCAACATGTCCCAAAAGTATCCCAAAGTGAAGTATGAAGTTCAATATATATATCAATTAATATATGATATCTATTGATATCTATATATATATATCTATATGTTCAATCTTTGCTTTCTATCTGAGGTGAAAGCGGGCTTGGTGAAGAGGTGTTCAGATGACGGTGGCAGCGGCCAGCAGGCCATGATGCTCCGGATGTCCTTCACCGGGATGCGGCGCAGCACCCGACCAAGCGATGCCCAAGGCAGTGGCGACGGCACCGATGGCGGCTTCACATCTCGCTGGGAAGTTCCTGGGGTGAAACAACGGTCCACATTTCGCTGGATGAAACTGGAGAAACATCCCAAAAAACATCCCAAAAAACATCCCAAAACATCCCAAAAACATCCCAAAAACATCCCAAAAAAACCGTCAGGATTGTTGGGTCAAAATTGAAAACTGCCGGCATCAAAGCATCGGACTGCGGAGAAAAACCTCATCGCCAAGTTCTGCAGTTCTTCCAAGCTTTGCGATCCCACCTTAGGCGCTGAGCCGCTAAGGCAAAATCACCAGTCAATTCTCCCAAAAATCACCCTATCGTCAAACAACACAGGTAGTAAGTGTAGTAACTGTAGTAACGTTTCCGAGCACTCTCAACATCTTCGTATTCGCAAAGTCAAAGTGTTAACACGGAGTTGACACATTGCGAGTTCCTGATCTGCAGAAGTTCCCGACAGTTCCGAGCTCCGAGTGACGATGACGACTTTCATCCTGTCCGCCGTATAGTGCTGTTGGTTCCAGCGGAGGAGTTCCTCCCGGGTCTGCCGCGGTGCATCCCCGTGGAGTGTCTCGAAGGTGCCCACGTCGAAACGGGCGAAGGGATGATCCTCGTCGACCTGTTTTGACCGTTTTCCACATCAAAAACATTGGAAAAAAAGAAATCCAACTCTCAACATTTCAAGAAAACAAGGAAGACTACACCTTGTTGGAGATGCAAATGACATCAATACTGGATTCAACGAACTTCAGCAATTCTAGTTTCAGCACGAGTCGAGCACGAGTCGAGTTGCTGTCATCTTGTGCAGCATGACTCCGCGCCAAACATCGTCAGTGGAGTAATTGGTGTTCTCAGCATCAACTGCCTGGATCTCCCGTTCCAGGCTGGAAACTTCGAATCTGGGTGCCTGAGATTGGTGGATTTGTCGCAAACTGGAACATGTTGGAGTGGAAAATGTGTCTGAAGACTAGGGGACAAAATTGTGAAATCTCTGAAGGATAAACGGAAAGTCAGTAAGATCGTGGAAAACAAAAAAACTTATATGACTTAAACAATGACTTATATGATTTTATCCCTTGTTCCTATGCTGACATCCTCGCTCTGGCTTTGTGCTCGCCCTGACAACTCTGCAATAGCCCAGCTGCTAAAAACAGCTGTGAAAAGCGATCCAAAGCGCCTTCCAGAAAATCCGCATTCACACTGAAGTAGTAACAAGTGAACTCTTCTTCGGTGTAGGCATTGCTACCTGCGATTGCGATCTTCCACAAGAGATTGCGAAGACCAAAGCAGAAACAACATCTGAAACAACATCAACATCTGAAGTCTTCGATTTGAGGAAACTGTGGAGGATGTGGATGTCAGGCCTCCAGCATGTTCACCCAAAAAACGGCAGTACTCGTCTTCTTCCGGATATTTCTCTGAACCCAGGAACAGCATGTGCTCATGCAGGTGCGCCAGACCCAAGGTTGATGCGGGATCATTGAAACAACCTCAGACTACGGACGAAAGTTCACCAAACTGAAGAAATGATGAGAATTTTAAGGAATTTTAAGGAATTAATTAATTTTAAGGCATGCAATCCCTCCTACCTCCGCCTATAGCTTATCACTATAATTCCTGATCCCTTTTCAGCTTCTAGGGTTCTACCGAGTCCTACCGAGTTCTACCGAGTACCTTGACCACTTGTCACACCTGCATTCCACCTCCATTCCCATCATTCCCCTGCAAATTCAGCAGCCACAACGCACGGACAGTGCGGCGGCTGCCATGTCGGCTTCGGGATCGGAAGCCAAGAAGACTTCCAGGTCATTGGGCAGTCGCACCACGCGGTAGGAGCGTGGATCATGCGGCGGCTTTTTCACCCCGGTCTCAACGGTCTCAACGGTCTCAATCTTCGCTGCTCTTCGGACTCTCCGGGCTCTCCAAGCGTTGCGTCTTGGATGTCTTGGGAGCTTGATCTGTCAGGGTGCTTGAAAAGATTTGGACAGGGAGATACACTCACCAATTGCTAGATATTGCTAGGTGATTGAAACATATTGAAAATCACGGAATTTGGCCATTCTAAAGCCGTCCAATTTTGAGGTATCCAAGTTTGATCAGTAGGGTGAGTGGTATCACCGTGGGTCATGGATCAGATTGGGATCGCTGTCCAAAGATCTTCGGCCTTTGTGACACCAGCGATGAAGGTCACCCCGAGTTTCAAGGAACCCGGCAACTGATGCGTCTTCGGTCGCAAACGGCTGGTACCTGTCCAGGAAGCAAAAGAAAAACAGAAGTAGAAAGGTTAGAACTGCACAGAGATCTGATACTTCTATGGCAAACCCGTACAAGCCACTAAGCCCATCACAACAGAATTGAAACATTGATCAAACATGATCAACATATTCAACATGCCGAAGCTGCGAGCCAAAGGTCGCGTCGCGTCGCCGGCTGGCCGACACTTCACAGGAAAGATCGGAGCAAGTTGCATGGTGATCAACAGACAAAGGTCTGGGGTCGTCAGCCATCCAAGTACCCTTACATCAACTGTGCTAAGGCTTACTTGAGGCTAACAGCTGCATTCATGAAGTCAACATAGTCAACCAAATATCATAAGTGCAATAAGAATTTCATAAGATATCAAGGTTGCTGCTGAATTCAACCTATCAACCTCCTAACAAATCAGCCATTTGTTCGGAAGAATCGTTGCTCCCATCTTCCAGCTGGCCGGAAATCACCGCCAAACGGATCCTCTTTGAGAAATGAACTCTCTTTAGCACAGGCCTGGCAGACAATGCGAGCGATATCTTGTAAGCATCAAACCATTTTCAAGGCATGCTCATCTTTTCATCGTTTCCACCGTGACGTTCTTCCAAGTTGCCGACCATTGAATGATGACGTTGCCATGTTACCATGCTTGCCATGTTGAAAATACCATCGAACCTTTCTTTTTCACCCATATTCATCATTACTCGTCCATATTTTGCACTTATTTGGCTCCACCATCAGTGGTGACCCCAATGTTTACAGCACTTGTTGGGATTCTGTATCATGATGTATCATGAATTCTTTTTCTATCAGCAATAATCAGCAATAATCAGCAATTGGTTGGGATATGTTGGGATTCTGGATCAGATCCCATATGAATTTCCTTGACCAGTCGACTGGTGGCTGATGGCCTCCCCATTGCTGGCGATGGCCGACTGGTCTCTATCCTGACACTGCGCAGATGAGGTGCTCCACAGATGCCACCTGCGTTGCGGGGATGATATGGTGCCTATATGGTGCCTATATGGTGGTAGGGTAAAGATGGTAAAGCATCCATTACCTGAGGATATCACCTGGTTTACCATAGTTTACCATAGTTATCCAATGGATAAACCATTGGTGGATTTTCCATGAGGATATCCTAAAGGATATCCTGAAGGCAACCATTTGTCCATTGACAAATGTTGAAAAGATGAGTTTACGACTCGTCGACATGTTCAACATCTTCGACAGTCTGCCTGCTGGATGCAGAGGCGCTGCTTGTCGCCCTCGCATTCCGACGGGCCGTGCATGCACTGCACTTCTTGGCCCTGCACCAATGGCTGAAGCGGGCGAAGTGGCAGGGAAACATGCCAGGATGTACTGTTGACCGATCTGTTTAGCATGCTTCGCCGAAGCGATCGATGCTTCTCTATGTCACATCTATGTCACATCTAATTTCTATTTTTGTCTATTTGCTTTTGACAAGCCATCTCGGGAAATCAGCCTCCTAAAATGTTCATTTTGTGAAGTTCACTTGAATATCTTGAACATGTCAAATAAATAGAATCTTCCAATGGCCAAAAGACCATTGACAGAAACTCAAGTTCCATAATGAAAGGTTTCCCAGCACTTCTTACAGCCTCTGCACTTCCGATGTAGGTGAACTTGAGATCGACCAACGATCTCAGATCCTGCAAGACCTGGACGGAACGCGGCGTCGCGGCGTCGAAGTCGGGGGAAGTCGGGGGAAGTCGGAGAATTGAGGCGACGGCTGGTAGGAAGCTATCCTCGCAGGCCTTTGCATCTGGGCCTTGGTGGGCTTTGTTTTTAGTTTGTTTTTCTTTTTCATAATTTTTTTCTCAACTTCTGTCAACTCCGTTTCATCCACAGGAATATATCATCATCAGCAATCTGCCGGCCATCAGTGACACCCGAGTTGCCCCGCACTTGGACATCACGAAGAACTCCACCTGCACCTTGTTGGTGCCCATCATCCATCCTCGGACCGTTGAACCCCAACGGTTCACCCAACTGAGCTGGGGTAAAATCCTGAAACAGCTTCATCAGAGTTCACTATGTTCACTTGGCTACTCGTGACAACATTGACAACTAGGGCCGCAACTCAACATGCTATTAACCTTGGTCTCAGGATTCAGTATGAAAAACCCGCTTTTCTCACAACAGGGACAGCTTTCCGGAGAGGCGCAAACGGCCATCGATTGCCTTCCCATTGACGGACGACCAAGCAACAGATTGCCATAGTCCATGGCTTTTCATCCTCCCATGGCGGACTAGAGTGGCTCCTGGCTGAACCCTTTCTCCAGCCCCTTCAACATTTGAAAATTCAAAGATAAAGAGATGGCAGAACACGGCAGAACAGCAATTCTTGTGTAAACATGGACCCAATTCAGAGGGTCCTCCACCAGCCCAAAGGCTGAGCAGAAGCAACACCTGTCCAGTGCTCCGTTCACGAGTTCACGGATGGGCGTGGAAGCCCTATTGCACAAGAGATCACAAAAGATGAGAAACGTTTCAACACAATTCAACACAATTGCAGGCCTTCAGACACGGACGTGCAACCTTTCAAGCCATCTGGTCAAGTAACATGGCTCAGCTCCCGTTCTGACCATTCCATGTGAGAAAAACTGAGGCGCAAACGAGGCACTTCGCCATGAATTCGAACACAAGGATCTACACTAATATGGAATGGATTGACGTTAGTGCCAGAAGTCTGCCTTTACATAATACATATCATCAAACCAGGTGTAAAAAGCAAAATGCCAATACTCATCCCACGATGCAATGCTACCGATGACCGAAGAAAACACGGCCTTTGAGTCTTCATGATCCATGCGCAGACATTTGAGCCGCAAGACAGGCCGTAGATTTTCAAGCAGCCACCTCCTATCACCTGTGCTATGCAAACGTACGAGTAGGAACAAGCATATCACGTATCGAGATCTAATGAGCAGTTGTAGTTCTGTGCAAGTTCTGTGCAAGTTCTGTGCAAGTTCTGTGCAGGCACCATGCAGTTTGGGCGTAGTTCTGCAGGCCGCTGGGATCCACCTGCCGATCCGCTTCAAGATGCTTCGCTCGATGCTTCAAGCAGATCAGGATCCAGAAACGTTTCAGAAAACGTCGGCTCTGCGGCACCGGCGCCTCTGCTTTGGATTTCACCCAGCACGGGTGCCAGGTCTTGCGCTTGATCAACTGTGCCTGGCGACAGCATGCGACAGCGTTTTCCTCAACGGTTTACCGTGTGGCGTGGCGTGTCACCCGTGGCACCTCTTTGACGAAGGCTCTGAGGAAGGTATCCTTCTTGGCCTGGCAGATGTGTCAATGTCATTGTCACTATGTCCGAATAATATGTCCGAATTAGACGAATATATATATATATATCCGAATATATGATATCATGAAATATCATGAAATATCTAGAAATTAATTCTATATGTCATGACAGGTCAGAGGTCACAGCTCACATAGATTTCTCTGGTGAGATATTGGTGTCACCGATGTGGTTTCGACCTCTTCTGGCCAGGTGTGCTCCGGAGCGTTGATCAAATCCTGCAATCCAAGTGGAGGGCCAAACTGGAAGAAAAACAAAGTCAACATACTGATGACATACTGATAACAGATCTCAACAGTTCCAAACTCAAAATCAAAGAGTTCCAGTTCAGTGCCAGAGTTTCGCACCTTCAGCACCAAACATTCGTTGGTGCAGTTCTCCTGCAACTGAACAAAGCAGGCACACCATCAACTTGCCGAACACATCTCTGTCGCGCCATGCCTTTAGTCGAATCGGGTGCTCGCCAGGGCAGCAAGACAGCCGAAAGGCCTCAGTTCACGTCTGGCGTCAATGGTGAAGAAACGCCATGGTGAATCTGTGATCCATCTGTGTGATCTGTGATCCAAATCTGGACATGTTGGTCACATGATATTCCCATGGCAAGTCAATGGTTCAATCCAATGGCCCAAGATATGGCCCAAGTGCACCTGACGACTTCGATTGTTCACATTGCCCCCACGTCGTTTCACCTCGCGGAGTGCACACTGCTGGATCTCACCCCATGACCCGTCATGGCCCATGCCTTGTCCAGGGAAGATTGGACGCCTGGTGAAGCCTGCAGGGCGCTAGCAGAATCTGTGCTGAATATATATAATTATATATATACAACATCCTACACACACACACATATATATATATAGTATGTATATATTTGCTGACTATGCTCAGTTGACAATTTCCTATGATCCAAATGGTTGTCAATCAAAAAACTTCACAAGTTCCCTACAGATCCCACAGATCCGATCCCACCTGGTCAACCAATCGGTGGAAAGGACCATCCCATGGGTGTTGAGGGAACCGTCCGGAATGTAGAGGTCGAACCACCACTCGCTTGGCCAGCCTTAAAAACTTCAACCTAAGCAAGCACATGGGTATCATGAGTATGGTTCAAAATTAGATTTCTGCAAAACGTATTTTTTTTTGAAAAAAACAATGCCACCATCATAAACTTCTAAGCCTATAAATATATCTAATTAAGTATCTAATATCTATAAGATAATTTTATACTTATAATTTTAAGTCTCTAGTATCTATAAATTTATACTATAAGTTTATACTATAAGTATTCTTCCCCAAATTCCCTGGCCTTTTTTTTGGCCAAGACATGACCACCTCGCCATCGCTCCCCATCGCTCGCCATGGCCGTCCCGAGGCTCAGACAAGGTCGTTTGCCTTCGAGGAACCTCCGGGCAGAAATTCATTGGAATAAGCAGATTTCTAGTGATTTTGATTGACATATTTGAAATATTTGAAATCCCAATGTTTATCACTAGAAATCTGCTTATTCCAATCAAAATCACTAATGAATATTGGAAATATTTGAAATCCCAAACTGCGCGGATGCAGATTTCCGAGGCTTCCCCATCGAGAAACTTCCGTACAAACCACAGACAAATGTCAATGGAGAACTTCAGCTAGCAATGGTCAATCAACGAGAAAGTGTCAAATTCACTCAAAAGCGAATTAGATTCGATCAGGGTGACAGTGAGAAAATATGCAAGGCGCTCTGTTTGTAGCTTTTGTCGTTCACGTTGCTCAGGCATGCGCAACATGTTGATATTTTTCGTGTAGTGTGGCCGTACGAAACAGGGAACCAATGTACTGGACTGATCGCTGATTTTGTGGCTCTCGCGGTTGCCAAGGGTCTGTGTTTTTGTCAGAGAAAGCTGTCGCACAAATCGTGCACGAGACGGTAGCGAGAGCTTCATTTAATCTGGCAAAACATGATAACAACATGATGTTTCACTATGACATCATTATTAACATAGTGAATGATAGTAAACCCCAATGATAGTGAATGATTATTACTATTAACTACCCTCTGGTTATGACTAACATAGCCATGGTATAGATGGCCCTAATCGAAATAGATGGTTTACCTATTAATAGCATGGTGGATCTTTCCATGGCTGTTGCCAGACAGAGATCCCACCTCATCAAACTCTGGGAAGCGAATACCAATGATGTCGGAGTCCTTTCGAAAGTCCCCGTTTGGCCATGATGTTGGCGATGCAGTTGGCCATGCAGTTTCATGATGTTTCATGATGTTTGATGATCATTGTCATTGTCGCGAACCTCGAAGACATGATCTGGTGGCAGGACCCTGGGCGCTCTAAACACTCTAAACTGCAAACCCAGTGAAAATGAATCATTCCATTGATGTCCCATGTTCAACGCTTCGAAATCTTCGAATTCGCACACAGTTCCAGCTTTCAAAAGAAACATGGGCATGATAAGGTCCATTTTTTGCACTTCTCCATCTGTTTTCATCACTTTTCATCGTCCATCGCTCAGTTTCACACGGAAATCCATGGGCTCGGAGAACCATGTTGCAAACCACATGGAACTGCACAGGTCGACGGTCTGGTTGGTGGTTTGAACCCCTCTGAAAAATAATGGGATTACAATATTCCCAGTATATGGGAAAATAAAAAACGTTCCAAACCACCAGTGGTATCATGATGTATCATGATGTATCATGATGTATCATGGCCACAAGCAGCCACAGCATGTCACTGCAAATTCGACATAACAGTTTCGACTGTCTCACCTCCCAGGCGTGGTGTTCCGGAAAATAAAACGCCGAAGACCTTGGCCATTCCGGCGTCACATCCAACGTTCACACAAAAACCATTTTAGCGCTTGTCTCAATAAGGCTTGTTGCATCTGGGATCTATAAGTTGTTGGTCAATGTTGGTCATCCCAAACTGCCATGGAGTTTCCGTGGTGCAAGCCGTGCATGCTTCATGTGCTCCCTTTCGCAAATTCTGGGACTGTCATCTCTGCACTGGAGCCCCGCGCTCGTGGAACTTTGCCACGTTGTAAAACCTCACACCAAGGCTTTGGCCACTTTGATCGACATAAGTGACATAAGTCTTTGATTCATCGGTACACATCGGATCATATCGGATAGATCGGTGCATGGTGCAGCAATCATCTTGGCCGCCCCGCAATCGCCGGCGTGCCAAGCAGCCACGCATGAATCGACCGATGATCTCCACCGCCTGACTTCAGGAGTTTCCATCATCGACATCGACTTAGCAACGAAATGTCTGGCGCAGATTCACGATAACTAACTTACCCTCTGGTAATTTAACATAGCTATTGAAAATCACCATTTTTAATGGGAAAATCCACTATAAATGGCCATTTTCAATTGCTATGTTAGTTCACCAGAGGGTAACTTACAAAAGGCACAGCTTTTCCTGGCGCACCTTTCTCTCCATCCGGTGAAGACTTCTCCGTAGCAGCCATCTTTGGACCGAGGCCTGGCGATCCATTGAGCCACTGAAAACCCATTGGTTCACATATCTGGCTATACTCAATGGCTATATTTGAACATAAAATGGCTACATCATCCAATGGCTATATTATATTCATATCTGCCTATAAACCCCAAAAAAACCCACAATCTGGCGATATTTGAACATGTCTGTCCGTAGGAACACGGGGGAAAACGCTTCAGGGAATAGTGATGAATAGTGGCTTTTGGTGTTGCTCGAACAGCTGCAAGAACAGCAGCGACAAGGACAACAACGACAGCAACAGAATTTTGAAAATTCTCGGACCCGAGGATGTGACTCTTTTGAAAGGAGGAAAAAAACCCAGCCCAACAATAGACTGCTTGGGGAAATAGACAAAATGATCTTCAACTGTTTCTTGTCCATGTTTGCAATGGAAGGAAAAGAGCACACTACATGTTTACAGCGGCTTTTGCTTTGGCAATGTCGTGAAATAGTGATGTTCTTGAAGGGTGGATTCGCGCAAAGCGTATATAAATATTTACAGGCAAGCCCAAGGACATTGTCAATTACTGTCTTTCTTGCTGTTTGAAGCTCATATCCAATGGTATTTGCGTGCTGCATGAAACTTGTTGCACAATACATATTAAAAACACCGTATACAACGGCCTGAGGGCTATCCTGAGGCTAAAGCGTGTTGTATTTATAGCATTTTCCAGCGTGCATTAACTGCAACCATCCAAGAAGATGTTCTTCGGTGTGCGGAGTCCATCATCAACTGCCGACCTTTTTCCAATTTGGCTTGGCCATACGGGAGGAACCAGCTGGAAAGCTGGGAAACTAACCCAGCTTAAGCATTGACGGAGCCGGAACCTTTGGTTCACAGCCAGGCGTCTTGGCCCAACTCGTTAACTGAATGGCAAAAAAATCCTTGCCATTAGAAAGTTGTGTTGAAAACAGAAACGGAAGCAACAAAAAGTAGCTGGCAGTCTTCTCCATTCAAGGCACGCCTCCAGTGTCCTTCACCTTACCTTGCTTTCCGGTGTCGAAGTTCTGATTTCACTCAGCAAGTAACTCTTCAGCAACTGATCTTCATGTCTTCCTTGGCAAATCTTCGACGCTTCCTCCTCACTGACCTGCAGAACATTGGAGATGCAAACGAGGATGCGCAGTGTGATACGCCATGGTTTTCCAATTTGTTTTTCAATGATTTTAACATATTTTAACCTTTCCAAATTGGAAATAATGGTTTTCACCTGTTTTCACCTTTCCCGTCTGTGAATTGATGGGTCTTCCAATATTCCATATTCCTACAATGCATCGCCACATTGGGCACTTCCTGCCTCCTGACCGGAAGCGATGCGCTGAAGCAACGCCACAAAGGTCGTATCCGTTCGATGAAGAGGGGAAACCTATGGCAACGACACACCGACCACCGACAGGAAATCAACGAACCGCAGCTGTGATCTCTCTTGGCCACGACTTTCGACATCTAAGACACGGATATGCACAGTCAGTACTAAGCAGATCTAAGTGGCAGATTGGATCAGATTGGATCAGATTGGATCAGATTGGATCAGAATGGCAGTGGATGTTAGTGAGTCTGGCTCTCATCAGATCTGATTTGCCAAGACACGTGTTTCACCACATCGGCGCTGATCTTGGTGGCCTCAAAAATAAAGCTCCTGGCGACAGTGAGGCATCCTGTATGCATCTGTATGCATCCTGTTCAATCGTGATCATATTCTTTGTTCATATTCTACTGAGCCTTGGTTAATGAAAAACTTAGAATGTTAATGACATGACCTCAGTGACCTCTTTCAAACCAGGACCCACAGGTCTTCCCTATTGCAGGGCGCCTTTTGGAGCGAAGCCTGTTCGACGCCGACCTTGGCATCCATAGATCCACTGATCACAGCTCAGGATGAATGTGATCGCAAATGAATCAGGATAGTAATACTGATATTATTATCAGATAGTAATACTGATATACTGATCAGATTACTGATATAATACGAGATCTTTGATGTTTTTTTTGATTTTGATATACTTTGATGACTTTTTTCACACTTTTTTCATCGATCCGTGCCCAGCTGCTTGAAGGCATTACCATTCTGCTGCACTGCAGTGAGGACGACCTGACGCGAAATCCATCATCTTCTCTTAATGAAATCGCGTGTTTCGACACACTTCGACACACTTACGAGTTTTTTTTGGTTTTCATCAAGTTTCAGCTGTTGAACCCCCAAAAGAACTTGGGTTCCGAAGTTTGCCTCTGGGTCATCTTTCAGTGCTGCGCTGCCGCGCTCCAGCAGCAAACCATCTCGCTGGATGGCCAACAACAAAAGCTCTCGGTCTCCACCCCATGCCTACACAGAGGCGCAGACATTTTGTGCTTCAGATACTTCAGATACTTCAGATGATACCTTATGACTACTTATGACCCTTAACGATACTTTATTATGGATCTTCCAAATATCAATCGCACTTTGAGAAGTTGAAATCTTGATCATTTTTGTAAGAGCTTCGTTGACATTTTCATCATCCATTTTCCCACACTTCACTTTGACACTTTGGCTGGAACATGAGACAGGTTGCACTGGTCACCTATTGTATGACTGTATGAACCTTTAGCACTAAGTCTGCCGGAAACATGCGTGGAACCTGCTGAGATAGTGAAATTTGGCCCCCCAAACCAACTGTCATAGCAATCTATGGTTGCTGTTGGAACTGTTTCTTCAAAAGACCTTTGACAACAAGAAAACAAGAAGACCCAGCCCACATCCCAAACCTGGACATATTTGGTGGATTTTGGTGGCATTTCTGGTCTCCCTATGATTTTTCCACAGTTTCCCCATGGTTTCCCCATGGTTTTCCCATGCACCTTGGGAATGTCCGCGGATCCCTGCGTCACGGCCGCATGGATCACATGCCGATCCTCCAGCAGCGGGGAGTCCTCCGGGAGCAACTCCAAGGCGTCACCACACCTCGGATCTGGATGGGATCTGGATGGAAACCCCGAGTTCATCCAGGTTGCGAAGTACAACACCGAGTGACCGCCTCTACTAAGCAACACATATGATCATATGTTATCATAATATATTATCCCTATTGGAGGGTGGAAACAACTTGAAGAACACCAATTCCTAAGAGCAGAAGAAATGGCCGTCCTACTCCAATGGTCCAAGCAACTGCTTAACCGCAGCCAACACAATCTCCTTGTCGCAGAACTCTGCCGGGATGATATACAAAGCATCTCCCCGCGTTGCCACCACCTAGCTGAACAGCGCTGAACAGCATCATAACCAGCGTGCCACCACTAATACTACTTCCACTACTATATCACTACTATATATTATTTCAATTGAAAGTATTTTGATACTATACTACCATTCCTACTATTGAAATACTACAGTAGTGGCATCATGGTCACATCCCATCCTCATATTATTTCAATTTCAAAAAATCCAGCCCTCTCAGTAGGGATATGGGATGGTATGTGACCATGATGTGACCAACCGTGGCGGTTCACCGTGGTCGTTCACCGCACCTTCAACAGAAAGTCTCGATTTTTCTGCATCTCTGCTGGTGCCAGAGCCAGTGCCCAGGGGTTGCTGCGGATGGCCGCCAGGATGAAGTCCGGATCTTTCAGCAAGTCCTGACTTCCGGAGAAAGGCGCAACTGGAAACGTCCAAGAACTGACTGCTGCGTCTGTATCAGCAGATCCTTGGAATATCAGACCTGAACTGTGACAAAAATTTGACCAGACAAAGAACCACACCTTTTAGACTTCTTGGATTATTAATGTTTATTAACCAATGGTTAATGATGGTTAATGATGGTTCATGATGGTTAATGATGGTTAATGATGGTTAATGATGGTTAATGATGGTTAATGATGGTTAATGATGGTTAATGATGGTTAATCAATGGTTAACCAATGGTTAATGATGGTTAATGATGGTTAATGATGGTTAATGATGGTTAATGATGGTTAATGATGGTTAACAAATGGATTAATGATGGTTCAATGATGCAATGATTTAATGATGGTTAATGATGGTTAATGATGGTTAATGATGGTTAATGATGGTTAATGATGGTTAATGATGGTTAATGATGGTTAATGATGGTTAATGATGGTTAATGATGGTTAATGATGGTTAATGATGGTTAATGGTTATGGGTTATGATGGTTAATGATGGTTAATGATGGTTAATGGTTAATGGTTAATGATGGTTAATGATGGTTAATGATGGTTAATGATGGTTAATGATGGTTAATGGTTAATGATGGTTAATGGTTAATGATGGTTAATGATGGTTAATGATGGTTAATGATGGTTAATGATGGTTAATAATGGTTAATGATGGTTATGATGGTTAATGATGGTTAATGATGGTTAATGATGGTTAATGGTTATGATGGTTAATGGTTAATGATGGTTAATGATGGTTAATGATGGTTAATGATGGTTAATGATGGTTAATGATGGTTAATGATGGTTAATGATGGTGGTTTAATGATGGTTAATGATGGTTAATGATGGTTAATGATGGTTAATGATGGTTAATGATGGTTAATGATGGTTAATGATGGTTAATGATGGTTAATGATGGTTAATGATGGTTAATGATGGTTAATGATGGTTAATGATGGTTAATGATGGTTAATGATGGTTAATGATGGTTAATGGTTAATGATGGTTAATGATGGTAATGATGGTTAATGATGGTTATGATGGTTAATGAGGTTAATGATGGTTGATGGTTATGATGGTTAATGATGGTTAATGATGGTTAATGATGGTTAATTATGGTTAATGATGGTTAATGATGGTTAATGATGGTTAATGATGGTTAATGATGGTTAATGATGGTTAATGATGGTTAATGATGTTAATGATGGTTAATGATGGTTAATGATGGTTAATGATGGTTAATGATGGTTAATGATGGTTAATGATGGTTAATGATGGTTAATGATGGTTAATGATGGTTAATGATGGTTAACCAATGGTTAATGATGGTTAACCAATGGTTAATGATGGTTAATGATGGTTAACCAATGGTTAATGACGGTTAATGATGGTTAACCAATGGTTAATGACGGTTAATGATGGTTAACCAATGGTTAATGACGGTTAATGATGGTTAACCAATGGTTACTGACGGTTAATGATGGTTAACCAATGGTTAATGACGGTTAATGATGGTTAACCAATGGTTAATGACGGTTAATGATGGTTAACCAATGGTTAATGATGGTTAATGATGGTTAACCAATGGTTAATGATGGTTAATGATGGTTAACCAATGGTTAATGACGGTTAATGATGGTTAACCAATGGCTAATGATGGTTAATGATCTTTGTTGGATCTTGGCAGCCCAGCTTCTGCAGATGCTCCCTGCATGGATCCCGGATTCAGCGCCAACATCTCCAGTACGAAGTCCCGGTCGCTGCGGAGCTCCGCGGAGGCGTAGAGGAACGCCTCGGTTCATAGTATTAGTGTTGATAAATATTACATATGATATATATGATATATATAGATAACACTAATACTATGTATGATGGCATTAGCATATATAATATTATTAATAGTACATCTATATATATATGATATATGTATGATATATGTATTATAGTAATAGTATAGTAACCGTTGACCTCAATTTTGGCAGAGATCTTGGGGAAAAAAAAATGACGCTTGCCTTGACTCCTTGAAGTGGCCATAGCTTCAAGAATCATCAGCATCTCACAGCTCAGGGACCCCAAATTGCGTGCCCCGCCCTGCTATACGGCTTCCTCTTCATAACTGCGAGGCCAATTTTTTATTCGTTTGTGTGCAATCCTCTGTGTACTTGTAATTTCAGTGTGACTTCACTAATTGTTGGGTTCTTCATTAAAATCTACGCCGCATTTGGCTGAGATGGGATGCCTTCCAGCATCTTTCACCTCTCACTTTTTGACGCTTTCTTGGGGCACATGAGCAAAAACAATCATCACAGAAATCCTCCACCGTGCCACTCTTGGCTGGCTATTAGTACTATTGAAAATCACAGGTCACTTGCACTAATCTTGATTTCCCTGAATGACTGATCATCTTATATTTTACCATCTTTATACCTTAGGATGTTACTCTAACACGTTTTCTTTATCCATTACTATTCCCTTAATTTTCCATTACTGCTCCCTTAACTGTTCCCTTAACTTTCCATTACTGCTCCCTTAACTTTCCATTACTGCTCCCTTAACTTTCCATTACTGCTCCCTTAATTTTCCATTACTGTTCCCTTAACCGTTCCCTTAATTTTCCATTACTGTTCCCTTAACTTTTTCCATTACTGCTCCCTTAACTGGGGAGAGTTAAGGGAGCAGTAATGGGGCCCCTGGGGGCCAATTTGGAGGCCAATTTGGAGGCCAATTTGGGGACTCGAAATCATTTCACCAAATTCGGCATAGCATTTTGGCTTTGGTAGCTTACGGTCCCAGACTTTGCCCTTGACTTGATGGAGAAAGTTAAGGGAGCAGTAATGCAGAAAATGGAGAAAGTTAAGGGAGCAGTAATGCAGAAAAGGGAGAAAGTTAAGGGAGCAGTAATGCAGAAAATGGAGAAAGTTAAGGGAGCAGCAATGCAGAAAATGGAGGCAGACAAAGGCTCTAAAGAGACCCCTCAAAAACGTGCTAGAGCGACATGCTAATTTATACCCAATCATCACAAACCTCCACCACAGGCATGGTATATCATCAAATCCCATAAACCCAGCCATTATCCAGTCATTATCCACCTGTTTATCCACCTGTTTATCCACCTGTTTATCCACCTGTTTATCCACCTGTTTATCCACCTGAACATTGTTCAACTCGTAGAAAAATGGAATTTTCCGTAGAAAAGTGGGATTTCCCATGGGATTTTCCTCAGTTCCCCCCCGGCTTCGCCATCGAATTTCGCCACCGGGTGGCTCCGCCCATCTGCTGCACCGCCTGCCGCACCGTGGCCCGGTGCTTCCGCAGCGCGGGCGAGGCAAACTGCAGGGCCTCCCCGGCCGCGCGCACCGCAGAGGAGACCACGGCACCTGGCGGGCTTTTTGGAGAAATCCCATTGGATCACCATGAAATCACCATTTTCCCATAGGAAAACCATAGGAAAATCCTAGGAAAACGATAAAACTATAGGAAAACCATAGGAAAACCCATAGGAAAATGGTGATTTAATGGTGATTAATCCATGATGAATGGTGATTAATGGTGATTTACCCTCTGGTTATTTAACATAGCCATGGTCTCGATGGCCCATTTATAGATGGTTTACCTATTAAAAATGGTGATTTTGGGATATTTGGGATATTTGAGATATTTTGGATATTTGGGATAGGTTATTGACTGGTTTTCTGATAGTTCATAAATATAACCCATATTTTGAGACATTTGTAATGAATGGTTTTCTGATATTTGTTCATAAATATAACACAGATTTGAGATCTCATGAGATATTGAGATTGAGACTTGGGGATCTTGGATGAGAATCATATTATTCATCATTAAAATTATATGTATATTATGTAGTATACATATTTAGATCACATGTCGTAGTCCATGAAGCCATTTCGAAGCCATTGAATAATGCCTGGGTGGAGTCCAATTGGCTGTCAATTTTTCGGTTTCCATGATATCAAGGTCACCCAAAGTCAAATGGGCTGAGGTTACAAGTACCCTATCCCAAGGTTCTCATTGGTTCCCTCTGGGCAGATTCTTGGGGATACCATTCCATCGCATTGATCATCGTGTTCTAAAACATCAATCGAGCACTAAACCACTCTGCTGAAACCACTCTGCTGGGAAAAAACCTGTAACATATTTTGCCAGCTGATCCAACTGTTTACCATCCAACTTTCAAGGTAGCGGGGTGTTGAGACTCTGAGATGTTTGGTTTCAGCCAAGCTACGATCGTCCCGGATGGCCTCCGGAGCATCTCGAAGGACCATGGGTCGACCAGCCACACCTAGGTGCAGATGTCCTGTTTTTATTGGCATCTTTCCACACTTTCCCTGGGAAAACATATCACACAGATTCACAAAGTCATAAAAAAGAAGGGCAAACATACAACACATGACCAAACACAACATATGTCACATCACTTTGCCATACTTTGCTCATCTTTGTCTCCAGGTGCTGACCTTTAACATAGCAAAGTCCAAGCTTCGGTCAATCCATTCCTTTTGGAAGGTAGAAAGAGTGGCGAGTTGGAAGTGCAAAACGTCCACGCCCGGAGCACGGATACTGCTGAGCACTTCCTGAGGACAATCAGTGGTTTGACACTTTTGATGCAAACTTGGAGTCATCTCACAATAATTCTGCCGGGTGATAGAGACACAATATCGGTTGATATAATGGTCCAATGACCCAATTCGCCCAGGGCGGCCTTGTCGTTCAAGCTGGCTTGGTGGTGAAAGATGGTGGTCAAGATTGTTCCCTGGCTGCTGGTGAATCTTGCAGGATGAGAGTTCAACATATTTCCTGGAAATGCCCTGCCCTGCCTCCCATAACAAAGCTACAACTTCGGTTTTAGTCTCAGGTAAAACCCAGGAAGCATAATATATATATATATATTGTACCTTCTGCGAAAACTTTTGCCAACCCTTTCGCAACTGCAGCACTTTGAACAAAAGGTTCGCACTTTGAACTGAAAACATGTTGTGCGTTTGGGGTCGACCCTCAGCTGGTACACGAATCTATTCGATAGAATTTCCCAAAAGCTGCTCTGCAAGCATGCCTCCGGCAAAACTAAGCGTTGCTGCTGTGGAGGGATTGCAGTAAACTCCGCAATCTTTGCTTTCACATCTGCCACAGTCCAAGAAAGATCCGCATCAAACTGCAAACCTCAGAGAACGGCATCCAGAATCGGCATCCAGCCCCATGTCTCAACCCACGGACGCAGGGTCAGCGCTTAGCTGAAGATTTGATAGATTTGATAGGATGAATTGCATTTTAGACCCCAAGTTTCATCAACAAGGACCAAGCCTGGCATGATCCTGTGGGCACACCACCACAGAAACAACATGAAACTCCCATCTCTACCGGCTCGACCGAGCCGCTCTGATCGCTCTCGTCACTGTCATGGCAACCCACATGCACAGCAATGGCCATTAGCTGGAGCCACTGCGGGATGAAAATCCAGATTTTTCCAGGATTTTTCCATGATTTTTCCATGAGAAACCATGAGAAACCATGATTTTTCCTAGAACCTAAAATTTGGACCTAAATTTGAACCTAAATCAAGTAATGAAACTAAAGACCTTGACCCTGCAGCACCAAAAAGTTCCACTCGAAATCATGAGATTCATCCCAGATTCAAACAGATTCGGCGCTACCTCGATGAGTTTCAGGGCCCTGCGTCGGAGCATCTCCTGTTGATTACAAGCTGCACCAACCCAAATCTATGGAGTGCTTGGATATCAAAATTGCTGGATTCTTGATGTCCAAAAATGTCCAATAGTATGATAAGTATGATAAGTATGCTGTAAAAACATGATATTTTCATATATTTTCCAATGAATTCCATCATCCACCAGCTAACACCAGCCAACATATCCAACACGTCCAGCTCCTTGGCATCAAGGAGCAAGTCCAGTTCATCGATTTCCGCTAGGAATTCCTGAGCCATTCGAGCCATTAAACTCAGGGCGAAACTGGAACCAATTGGAACCTGAATTTATGGACCCAACTTGTACTTCACATTGGACTTCACATTGGGACATCATAATCCACATAATCCACATAATCCACATAATCCACATTTTGTTTGAAAGCCATGAAGTTTCCACAGATTTTGGAGAAAGACCCTTCCGACCCCGTCACGAAGACCACAACGTCACCTTCACGTGCTCCACCATCTTCCGGCGCCAGAGCAGCCGTCTGGCTCCGGATTGAATCAGCAGAACCGCATGCACAATCTTGGCCTGGCGATCTGCGTCATGTCTCATTGTGGCTCACGGTTTATTTAAGGATATTTAAGGTTAGGCTAAAAAAACACATCAAATCACTATTTTTTTTCCCCAACACGGGATGCTGCTTACTTCCTCCCGACAATCCGGACCAGATCCCAAGCTTCGAGGCTTGCCATGATGAAACTAAGGTTCCTAAATGTTCCAAAGCTACTTTTCCTATGGCATTCCCAAAGTTCACATGAATCCATGTGCACACATCCCATAAGGCTTCCGAAGTTTGTCAATGTTAAAAAGACGGTTCCAGAAAAGTATTCCCAAAGTCTGATATCACTCTGGGGGAACCTCAAGCAAAGCATTGTTTCCATGAGAAAGGACCGAGAATAGATTTCCAAAGACACAAAGTTCCCCAAAACACGAGATTCCCAAACGAAGAGTTTTGATCGTCAGATTCCTACACACAGGGCTAGAAACGGAGGGTTCATCAAGGACAATGTGTGAAATCTTTTTGTCTTCAATATCTTCAATCCAACATTTCCAACATTTTGCAACAGGATCAAACAGGATGCAACAGGGCTTTTCGGATATGGCGCGCGAGTCCATCGACACTGAATTGAGCCTTCTCCTCAACGATGGCTCGGCGCGCACAAAAGCCGCGCCAAGCTGCCTGGCGAACCAGCCGGTGAAGTATGGTGAGTGGTGAAAAGCTTTGAATTAACTTATCTAGGCTGGAACTAATGAATTAACTTATCCAAGATGGAAGTAATTAAGTCTGAGATAGACCTGTGAAGATATGTGAAGTCTGACTTGCTTCTGATGTCCATGGCTGTGCTGTGAGTAATTTGGATGTTTAGACTCAGCAGACATGGTGTCAGTGGTGCCTGAATCCGGCCTCACAGGAGCACAAGCTGGGAGTTGGAATTTGATTTTCGGCCAAGATGCTGAACATGCTGAATACATCATGTAACGTCTAATATAACGTCTAATATAACATCTAACATATCATCTAATATAACATAATATATATATATATCATATATATATATATATATGTATAGATTATATTATTTGTATTATGTATCCATTGGTCCATGCCCTTTCGCGCCGTGGCGCCGGCTTAGGAAAAGCCTCTGAGTCGCCAACGGGAGGGAGAGCGTTTCTTGGAGAAACTCTCGATGAACTGGATTTCCTGAGGGGCACGTGAAGAAACAAATCATGCCATTATAACAGATGATAATTATAACATAATTATAACAGATGAATATAACTATAGTTAACATATATAATTACTATGTTAGATAACATCTGTTATAATTATCATATGTTATCATATGTTTAAATATAACTATTATATAACAGCACATAACAGATGATAAATGTATATACTGTATATATATAATTCTGACAAATCTATACAAATCTGTCAAGTTCGGTGTGATACATGTATTTCATCTCGACAATCTTAAGTAGAAATTGAAGATATTGAAGCAAACTCAGACATGCCTTCAAGGCTGACCGTACCAGAAATTCTTCCTGAGGCAGAGTCATGCGGCAATGGATCACCAAGAGATTGGCAACAGCAACATGCAGTGCACGGAAAACAACTCCTCCACAAATCCGAACGATCTACGGAATGTCAACTGCAAGAATCTGCAAGACTGAACGAATCTGAAGCATCATGAAGGCGAGGATGTAAAGAGAGCGGATGGTCTAGCGATTTCACTCTCGGTTTCAACGGTTTCACAAGGAGATGTTCTGCACATTTCTTCACCATCGGCCTGTTGTTTCATGGAGAGGCCTGGCTTCTTTTCCTCCGAATAGTCAGGATCCAAAGCCCTGGTGCCAAAATACTCAAAGTCAAAGCACATAGGTGGAAAACCTGAACTGATATGTAGAATTATATAGAACTATTTAACAAAACATCTAGATGAATTCAGTTTCGATTGATCTTAGTGTAGTCTTAGTTTCCCTTGAAACTATGTGTTTTACGAGTGTGGAATGGGACCTTGGGTCCTTGCCTGGCTTGAAACTTCCCCATCAACGCCCCGTAGGCATCCTGCAGATCGATCCATATGGCGAGGATGGCAGTGGGATGGTTGCCCCATGTTCCCCACGTCTTAGTGCCCCACGTTCCATCTCAGGCGTTCAGGTTCAGTCACGACCACGTAGTCAACCTGAATTTCACAAACATTTCACATAATTTCACATCAATTCACATCAATAATACCCTCTGGTCATTTAACATAACTATGGAAAATCATCATTTTTAATGGGAAAATCCACTATACATGGCCATTTTCAATAGCTATGTTAAACTACCAGAGGGTAACATCATCGTAACATCGGCAAGAGCCTGGTGAATTTCTCTGACTTTGGGGCTCCAGCGGCCAAAATCTCTGGCTTCTGGGCCAATATCTGTGATCTGATGGTTGGATCACCTGCAAAAATCTGATGATTGACACCAGATTCCATCAGGAATCAATTGGAATCAGAATCCATTGGAATTTGAAACACAGCACCTGCAATGGGATTCTGGAAGACTGTGAGCCATTTTAATTCCTGGTCAGGCAGGCTGGCAGGTCCAAACGGAGCAGGTAAGCATTTGGAATATCTGGATTGGCATGATATACTGATATGATTGAACATATCATTAAAACAACCATATAAAATAATACATCAATCATGTAAACCCTTCAATTGGTCCACATATTTTTCAACATATTGTTCAACATGTTGTTCAACATATATTCAAACAATCGGGGCACCGGAGCAGAGCAAACACTTTCCAAATCGATCCACCTCAGCGGCGGATCCGCCGATCTGGTGATGTGTTGATCGGCCAACTGAGGCCAGGGCGAAGTCAAACTGTTGTGATGTAACAGTACCACCTGTGAGAAAACAAATTTTCAATAGATTTTCAATGGATGTTCAATGGAGTTTCAAAGGATTTTCAAAGGAATTTCCAAAGGTTGCAATTGGAATCAAATGGAACATAGGACAGAAAACATGGGAAACGAAACAAGGAACGCTGGAACCGTCTGGAACACCCGATTCGCATGAGTCGCATGTTGGAAGTGCTTTCTCCACGATTGTGACCAGCTCAGCCAAGTGTTCGACTAAGTCACTGCAATGTGATTCCGAGGAAGTTTCCAACTATCCTGACCTTGAGGTGTAGCTGGCTTCTCCACACTTGGGCATCTGGAAGCTCTTCCAGACCTCACACTTCGATGCCAATGGCAGAATATGTGGAATACATCTGAGTTCCAACAACGACCAAAAAGATCTTCACGATTCTTCACACCATTTCCACATCTCTCAATGTCTCATGATGTTCATTCATCTTATTCATATTTTCTCTTTGATTATCCACGGATATCCACGGATTGAGGCGTTGCACTACAACGGCTGGCATCCAGGCGTACCACATGCGGTGCCGCCTGGCGGAAAGGTGAATCAGGTGCAGAAATGAAGAAATCAACAGATTCACCTTGAAACCTCCTCAAGGTTCGTCAGCAAACTTCCCAAGAAAAATAGATGTGAAATGTATGTGTGAAACATCTGTGAAATGTATGTGGATGTCGATGATGTCGATGATGTCGATGTCAGTAACTCAACACTATCACTACACTGCCCCACCTTTAGGCACTTTACGAGGTCACCACGTGTCAGCTCCCTTGGAAACCGAAAAATCATCAGACCTGGACTGAACAGCCACCGCACTGGGGCGCCAGACGTACGTGAGATGTTAAAGATCAACACATTGTGCAGGACACTTCCGAAGTTGAAATACTCCAGTCGTTTGAAGTACAGACCTGCAGTTTCTGCAGAAACTTCAGGTTCTTCAGTTTCTTCAACTGTCCAAAAGCTAAATCTGAGTCAGAGAGTTCGCGTCAAACAAATCCAATGGAACCCATGCAATCCGAGAACGAAAAGAGTTTTTTGTTGCCTCGGGAGAAGTCGGCTGCAAGCCAATAGGTCTCCTGCCAACTGGACGAAGGAAAAACATGGAAAAACATCCATCATTTCACATGTTTCCATAGAGAAATCTTGACTTGCAAAGAGTTGTCATAATTCTTTTGGTGCGTGGTCTCATCGAGGCTACCTCCAGGCACATGTCCACACTGTCCACACTTCGAATTGTACTGTCTGCGAAATCAGGGATCTGCAATTTCTTGTTCCTTCAGGTCCCTCAAGAAAACAGGAGAGCATCATAGGGGAAGTGTGAAAAAATCTAAAATCTTCCAAAACCTCTTGACTTTCCGAAATCGAATTTTCGACCCTCAGACTGCTCAAATCTGCTCAGACTGCTTCACGATTCTTCAGGTCCTCAGTCTGACCCAAGCTCTTTGTGGCCTGCAAATCCAAGGATTCCATGCCATCTGTCAAGATCTCACCAGTTTGTCGCTGAACTGAACATGAATCTCTGCCTGTGCCATCATCGCAGTGCCAAAAATGTCATGAAAGCGGCTCAACAACTTGCCTTTGGCAGTTGCTGCGCCACTTTCTGTGCCAAATGACTGCGGCGACGGCTCACTTTCCATGGAGTTCCCTTCTCATTTGCACATGCGGTGACCAGCTTCTAAAACAGTGTCTGAGATTGCAAGAGCCACCCTCAAAGTCCATTCAAAGTGATAACAGTGATAACCTCAAAAATAATGATCACGGCGAAGAATGCATCTCTGAATTTCTCAATCATCAAGCTTTCCTGAATCCGTCCAAATGGCAGTCCAAGCCCAAGAAAGAGGCGTCATCATCAGTTTTCCCCGCTATTTCACATTCCCAACATTCCCAACATTTCCATTCTGGTTTTATGTCAAAATAGCTATTGAAGCCATGGCCCAGTCGAAATAGTGAGTTTTCCCATGAAAAATGGTGGGATCTTTCCATATTTGCCATACCAACATTCCCAACCTCTCCTAACATTCCATTTTCCCATGGTTTTCCCATGGTTTTCCCATGGTTTTCCCCCATGGATGCGGCCGTGTTTTTGTTCTCAATCGTCCCAAGTCGACCCAAATCCTCTGCACGGATGGCACGCCAATCGGAAATCTTCAGTTGCTTCAGGACTGCCACCAAGTCCTGGAGGCTCTCGCTCTCAGTCCATGCTGGGGAACACTGAAACAATAAAAATCAATAGATGTCAATAGATGCTATATATGATTCAATATGATTCAATATGATTCAATATGATTAAATATGATTCAATATGATTCAATATGATTAAATATGATTCAATATGATTCAATATGATTCTATATGATGATGCTATATGATGATGCTATGGATGGGTTTGTGATGGTTTGTCAATTTCTTCAGCGCTTGTTTGGAAACTGATTGATCTGATTGGGGGTGAATTGCCTACCCAGTGAGCTCCTCCGCTGATGCCAATGGGGTCCAAATCACCACGGGTTCTTCTGAACTTTGAGAGAAGACAAATCTGACCTGTGGATCACTGTTCTCAAAATCACGCAAAATCATCCAACAACTTTGACAGCATTTTTGGCAGTTCAAAATGTGAAAAAAACCCTTGAATTCTTTGGATGTGGGATAGCCGTGTCACCACCAACGGCGTTCCAACGGCACAACTCAAAAGCCAAAAGCGAAATCTGATTGGATCGTGACCACGTGACCATCGTGCATTTGGCCCAAGCCTTGTGCAGAAAAGGCCTGTTGCAAACCAAGGTAGGATCGTGTTTGGCTCGTTTCCGGTAGTACTGCTTGTCTCCTGTCAGCAAAACGCCGTGGCCATCAAACTCGACGGCTGAAACTTCGCTACTCTACAACCCACTTTCAGTTTTTGTGTTGTGTTGTGGGCCCAGAATCGATGGCATTGGCTCATATGACTCATATACTCGAGAGATTTCTGTCAACTCGCTTGGATTTACTGCACTTAGAGTTAGACTAAGTCTACTGAGTCTACTGAGTCTGGAGACCATATGGGATCACCTCATGAAAATCTGTGTTTCCTACGGAAGCCAATCCCAAACGTGCAGCAAAAGCAGTCGCAGTCTTACGACATGTTACGACGTATACGAGCATCAGCCGGCAGGTCGTTACCGTGATCATGTGAAATATGATGAAATATGTGAACACAAGATTCAAATGTTGATACTTTTCACACGTTTTCACACGTTTTCACATGTTTTCACACATGAAATGTATGAAATGGCGGGATGGCCTACCAAAGGCAGCCCAATGTGCCTCAATGCAGAAACGACGCACGACTTGGCTTTGAGAGGTGCCAGTGACTTGCTGACGGCTGAGGCTTCTACTCACAATGGACTCTGATCTGGTGAGTCCTCCCTGAGCGGTTGAACAAAATACCACTGGAAATACCCTCTGGTAATGACTAACATAGCTATTGAAAATGACCATTCATAGTGGATTTTCCCATTAAAAATGGTGATTTTCAATAGCTATGTTAGTCATTACCAGAGGGTACCACGATCTGGGAGACTGCGATAAAGTCGAATTCTAAGACGAGAATATGCAATCTGCGGAAAATCCAGGAGAAAATCCAGGAGAAAATGTAGAATCTGCAGAAATATTATACAGAAATATACACAGCTCACAGCAGGTCACTGTGGATCGCACCTGTCAGAAGTCGGCAATGGAGCAGACTGTATTGGCTACCATCCTAGCGCTGTTTGATTCGATGCAGGAAAGCTATTCCAGTTTCCCTAAGTTTCTCTATTAAATGATCATAAATGATGATCCACTGGGGTAACAATATGGAATCATCATGTGAATCATCATGTATCAACAAGATCCACAACAAGATCCACAAGATCCACAACATGCTGTCCTTGCTCTTGAACTCCGCCAGACATTCATAGTGGGTAGCTGCGTGCTGGCCCTGCGGCATCACTTCGCAACGTCGCGTGATGTGGTAATGGGTCTTGTCAATGGGCGCCATGATCAATCCGCGGGGCTGGTAGTTCTTGGCGTTCTTGGCAAAGGTGCCTGGATCGATCGAATCGAACGAACGAGATAAGCCCACAAAAAACCCGAGACAAACCTCAGAACGTCAGCCGTTTTAAGCCGTTTTATGCCTTTTTGATCCTTTTTGCTTTGTCAATTTGTGCAACCCTCGGATCTTATGAATCTTGTGCATTTTATACCTCTTTTATGCCTTTTTTGCATCTTTTCGCTTTGTGCAACCAACGTCACCATGTACCAAGGCGATGTAGTCCCTCACCAAGGCTTGTCGGATGATCTGCTCTTTCGCCCACCTTCCATGGCAAGCCAATGCAAGGCCCAAAGCCAAAAAGCTACGATACCAGCGGATAGATCTACAAAGATATCCAGCTATCCAGAAATATCGAGAGATATCATAAAGACATCCAGAAAATAAATCCAAGCGGGATGGAAAAAACCCACAAAAAAACGAAAACACGTTTATAACTTTAATACCATTGTGTGATGGTTTGCAGCAAGCCTACCTGAAGCTTTCCAGCGTCTTTCCCAAAAGAAGGGATCCCGTCGTTCCCACGTCCAAACGATGAACCTTGGACCAAAACAAGAGGTATACAAGAGGTTCATGATATTTCATGATATTTCATGATATTTCATGAAGTTCATGCAGAGCTCAGGCCATTTCATGGCCATTTCCACACCCCAAGGATACACGCACTGACTGTGCACAGACCGTGATTGAGGTGCCCACCATTCCATACAACATGTCCTCCCGCATCACTTCGCGAAACATGGGATCTGCCCCAAAACGAAGGATCAGGTAGTCGTGCAACGCTGGGGTGTCTTGCTGCATCAGTTGTTTCTGCAGCATCATCTTTCGATCGTTGCTGCTCATCTGTTGGCACCGTTTCAACAAGTTGCGGCCCTGATCTTGGCTACTACAATGCCATGTGGCCGGCTTCATCAATACCATGAAGTCGCTGTCCTACACGAATAAGTGGAGCACCAACAGCGGATAACAGCGGATAACAGCCATAACACCAGTGCCAACAAAATGCAAGGTGTTATGAATTTTTGACATGATTGAAGGTGTCTTGACTTTCCATTTTTTTCTGAACCAAAACATCCAATCTATATAAATCTATTCACGATATTTAACTATTAGATGCCATCTGAATGATATGATGCAGCAACAAAATCACCAGCAAGATAAATGTAAACCCACACGTAAACATGACCAGATTTATTTGGTTTGTTGGGTCCTCATATAGAAATTGTGGTTCCTCTCTTTGCCATTTGTCTCTCTGCCAATGATCACCTTGAAGCCACATATTTCTCCAGGTCTTGGGTGGCGGCAGCTGCATGATGCCCTTACTGCAGATGCCCAAGGTGCTGTCGGCCATCTGGCGACAGCTTTCCGGCAGCTCCATGGCCAGGTGGATCACCGTGTTGCTCTTCCGCCCCGTAGCGCCTCGGCAGCGCGGCGGCACGCTGCCGCCGTCCTCGTGGCAGGGCTCCAAACAGACGCTGCAGCACAGCGACTCGAAACGACCGCCCAGGAAGAAGTCCTCCGAAATGCGCAACATGCGCAACACGCAAAACACACGTAAAACACACACACACACAAAGCACGTAAAAAACACGTGAAACACAAAACATCACATCACACCATGACCTTCACATTCACATACATTCAAAGATGAAACAGGAATAGCAACCAAAGAAATTTCATAGGAACCAAAAATTGGTCAATGTTTGTGCCAAGAAAATTTTCTTTTCTGATTCGCTCTCGGTTTTCCCATGTTTAGAGCAGTTCTGAGAAGTTCCTAGTGATTCAGCGCACTGGGCTTCAGAACACAGCATCATATGATTTGACATGTTTCAAGTTTCACGCCCATTTCGTTCCACACTTCATACCATTTCATGTGTTTTAGTATGGTTTTGTTTAATTTTATATATTTGCATGCATCCACTCCCATCTTTCATCTCCCATCCTCCACTTCTTTGGCGTTGATGCTGGTATCACGCAAACCCACCCACAAGGGCTGGAATTCCACTTGGCCCTTGGCCGTGACCCGCTCCACCGGGTACAAGGGATGCAAACCTGACAATGCAGGAAAAATGAGACCCAACATATCGATATTATAGTCATGTTGTATCTAAACATGTAAGCCGTGGAGGGCTACAGACCTCCTATGTAATAGTCACTTTGTTTGCAGGACAAACCCTTAGCGTTTCACATTGTTTCACCACTGAACTGATTGGCTCAGAATGGGCTGTTGCTTTGACCTGCATGACTGATGGAATCCCAAACGTAACCAGCATCAACATCCAAAAATCCACCATTTAGCACACCGAGACACTGAGGATTGTCAACAGCCATTGGAATCCAAAAACCGTCACCTGTGTCCCGTTGAAGTCGATGCGTAGTGCTGGGCCCGTCTCTGCCGTGACGTGGCGTGCAATGCGCAGGAGCCCTTCATCCGTGATGGGATTCCCGGAGAGATCCCAGACGTCACAGCGGATGTTGAAATCCTGGAGGAAGTTGCACACAAAGTTCACCTCAACCAGCCGCCCGGAGAGCCCCAACCGGCTTGGAATCGCTGAAGCAACGTTGGAGTACACTGAAAAAAAAACACGGCAGTGATGGGACTCTGATGGCACTGATGGTCTTACTCTTCTCTTTTCCCTTTTATTGAAACCCAAAGTGACGCAGAGGCTCCGATTGGACAACCCTGTGAAAACTAAACTTGGCGTTTGTCTCAAATTTGGGCCCCGCAAAATCCCATGGTTCATGATGGTTCATCCACTTCATAAATGGAGGTTTATAGCTGGGAAAATCCCTCAAAAAATGGGCCATGGCTTCCATCATCAGCATCCGGGTTTTGTCAAAGGGGCTCCCACGGAGGTAATGGAGTTGTTGGAGAGATCCAGAAGGGCGATGCTTTTACCAGGCCGCGTGGGGAGCTGGGAAACCATCCATTGCACCCAGTTATACAAATCTTGGTCCGACAGGCCCTGGTCACTCATCTTGATCTGCATGGCAATCCTCACCAAAAAATACCACACGTACCAGAGTGGGGATCGAATCGAAACCATGGTGAATTCACTGTGTCTGGATGTTGATCAAGGCAGTTTGGATACACTTTGGAGGACTGAATGGGACTGAAATGCTGAGAAAGACACCCACTGCGGATCCGGCATGACTGGCTCCAATGCACCTGAGGGAACATCTGTGCTGTTTAGAAGCGCAGAATCCCATTCGGAAAACACGATGAAACAGCAGGATTCGAACAGACACACGATGAAATGAGAAAAACAAAATCTCAAAAAACTGTATAACAGATTATAACGGTGTAACAAGATAAAGCCAAAAACTCATCAAACATGACAAGGGAAAAGAACAACTGTTCAAATCATACACATCAACATCCTATGGAAACACCGAGGCACCATCTTCACAGTGGTTCGCCTCTTTTTCACCTCTCTGGCAGCCACATCTTTGAAGCTCATCTTCCTCTTGGAAGTTTCGTCTACACTGCTGCTGGGCACTGGTCGTCCTTTGCCGGTGGTCCCCGGCAGTACTGGCCGTGCTTTCGGTGGGATGCGATGCGTTGGAGGCTGCGGAGGATGCGGTGGAGGCGGCGGAGGTGGCAGCCGGGCATCTCGTCCCTTTCCTCCTTTTCCTCCCTTTCCTTTACCTCCAGAATCTCCCTCTCCACGACGCTGCGCCAGCTTCTCCCAGCTGTCATGTGATGCCTCATGGACATCTCTCATGAACAATTTTACTGGATATCATATGATCATCATATGATAATCATTGAATATTCTGTCAATTCATCTCATACACTCACGTTCAATCCAATCCACAAACATCAAACATCCCGATGTAGACCAAACTTCAAACTTCAGATCCCATTTTTTCTTTGATATTTCACAAATATCTCATGTCCAAATTGATCATCCAAGTTGCTATCCTTTTGGGACTCGCAGGTCTTTTGTGACTCCCAGGTGCTCTGGTTGGACTTCGAGGGCGAAGTGGACGCTGTTGAGCCCTGCGTCGCATCATATTGCCCACACGAGGAAGTCGGCCTCAGGTTTCATCAAAATATATCAAAATCATCAAACTCCTCTGGCTCACCGTCGTTTTCATCGTTTTCCCGAGATAAACTTGGGGTATGACATGGTATAATTTTGATACTGGCTATCACTTTTGTCCGCAAATTGCAGCTGAATCTCTGAATATATCTGAATATCAATGAACAATCACGAACAAATAAAAAGGCCAAGGCGCCCAGTCCAGAAATCCTCGTTTCAATGTGGAGTGAGTTGCACAAGATTCGATTCGAACATCTGCACCCGTGGGAATAGATGGATGAGTACGCCAGCCGGCTATCATACTGGATATCAAAAATACGACACACGCACGCACACGCACATTGTATGTATGTATGTATGTAGGTAGGTAGGTAGGTATGTATGTATGTATTTATGTATGTAAGCTGGAAAAATGATGAACACTTTGCCAAACTCCCAAGAAAATGACGGAATACAGAACATGATGGAAGCGCTATGAAATGCCGAGATATGGTGAGATGACGTGACATCGTGTGGTGTCGCAAGTTCTCATCCAAGCCACAAGCGCCCGACCGAGCCACGCGGCAGGTGAGGAGACTTGCCTCCGCGGGCTTCCTGTGCAGGTCCCCTTTTTTTCACGGGGAAACTTGGAAAATGCCTCCAGTGACAACTGGAGCTGAAATGCAGCTGAAATGGACCTGAAATGGTGAAATGGTACAATTTTTAAAGGGTCCTGATGTCAGCCGAATGTCCTAATCATGTGGGGAATTGGAAACTGTTTGAGTCACCACGGCCCAGCATGTCATCGTGTCGTCATTTCTCCACGGGACCCTGCCTCCTTGGCCTTGGAACTCTTGCCTGGCAGGACATCAAAACCCACGGCACCAGAGCACCCCCCAAAGCTCTGGGCACCTGCTGCTAGCCTTAGTTCAATGACTTCAATGAGTTCAATCCAGAATCTTGCCACATTTTGGAGAATGTCTGAGACATGTTTTTTAAGCATTGGAATTTGCCAAGGAACAGCTTTCCAACAGATCCTTTGGGCGTCTTGGGTGGAGGCGTCGGAGGCTCAGGTGCTGCCGGTTCCTCCGGTTCCTCCGGTTCCTGGTTGCAGTCAGTCACAATTCACAGAGTTCACAGAGTTCACAGTGCGAGTTCCGCTTCTCCGCAGCGAAATCGTTCTGCCTCGTTCCAGTCATTCCATTCGTTCTTTTCGTTCACCTCGTTCTCTTCTGACTCCTTTGACTCCTTTGACTCCTTTCTGAGCCTCGGATTACTCGGATTGCGACTCACGAAGTGACTAGACATCTGGTCAATGAAGTTCCATGAAATTCAACGAAACGTTGAAATTTAACCTTGAAAATCAAATGCCCATGCTGTTTGTGTTTTTAGCTGCTATCTCTCCAAGGAACAACTTGCCGACGGAGCCTCTGGGTTGCTTTGGAGGCTGTGGAACCTGCCATTAAGTCATCAAACTCCACAATCCACTGTCAGCACTCCAAAAACTGTATCTGTGAATCATCTGTGAATCATCTGTGAATCATCTGCTCCGTCGCCTCCGTCTTGGCCTTGTCTTTGGCTCCTAGACACGTGCCGATCTGCTGACCCTATCCCTATTTCTATCTATTTCTGCCGTGGGAAACATGTCATTGTCATTGTCAGACCACCGTTGTCACTGTCTTGGCGCCAGACTAGCAGCAGCCAACCTCGGCCAAGATCGAACTTTGACATGCCAATATGATGGGATATGTTGGGTACTTTTCTATAAACAAAGTGCAAGTGATGCCAATTTCTGATGCCTAGTGATGCCTAGTGATGCCTAGTGATGCCTAGTGATGCCTGATGTATCCTGAGGTGCCAAGATGGTGCCAAGAAGCAAGCGGCCAACAGATCCTTTGGGATGTCCATTTTGGGACATCTCCGGGAGTCAGGAGCCTGCGACGATCTGCGAAGCACAAAAAGCTGTGGTGAAATGCGAAGCCGTTCGAAAGCACCTTTCACTTTCGAAAGCACAGTCGAAAGGCTGGAAGTCCATATGATTCCATATAACTTCCAACTTGAAGCCGCAGAGTGAATTTGTTTTATAATGCATTATAAACATATGTCAAGGAAAAAATGCATCACACATGGATAGACAATAGATATAAATAATGCAGATAAATGTATACACCTGTAACATATAGCCCATATAAATCTATAACAAATAACCTACAATCCATGTAAGGAATTCAGATTTTGAAGTTCGCCATCTTCTACCATCCCTCAAACGCAGCCTCCTTGAACCAAGTCACCAGGCATCGACAACATCAGTTCGACAACAAGAAACCTTCACGAAATAAACGAAATCAACTCCACAATGTGAATGTCTACACAAAACCTTTAAAATTTAGTTATGTATAGTTTCATGATGTTTCATGAAATGCATAACTCCTTTAACATCCTTCAGCCACATCTGTATTGAGTGTTGACATTGTTGACATTGACCATCAAGAAACACCCAGCATGATGAACATGCTGCCATTGGTGGACTGTTGTGGACCTTTTCTTTGGCGAAGTTCGCGAAAATCCAGTGAAAATCGAAAAGTTCACGTGTCGGCGCTTTCCATCTCCTTGGCCATGAAAACAATCTGCGGCTTCGCCGGCGTGGCTGCATCCCGCTGTAAGTCGAAACCCACCTCTTCTGTAGAACTGACGATTTGAAGCTCCTACAGAATGCCAAGGGAATGCCAACGGAATGCCAACCTTGTAACATGTTGTAAGCTTGAGATTCTGGGATGAGTCTCTAGATGTTATCGGTATTCACCGGTGTTCATTGTTGAATCATTCTGACATCTCTAAAAAAATGGCATCCATAGCATATGAGATAGTCTCTGCTACATTGCTACATCGATAGCGGTGCACAAATGCCACCAAGTACTTCTCAGATACTGTTCTTCGTCCCAACAAAAACACCACTTTTGGATACTTTTGGACCCTTTCACGCTTTTGCTGTTTCCGGTACGTGTCGCTATCCACATGTATGTCTACCGCCACAAGGGATACAAGATGCAGCTGCCTGACACAACTGAAGAACTAGTGAATTCAGGTCGTCTTTGGAATGCCCAAAACAGGGAAAACTCGGAGTCCAGGGATTGTCGGCGCCTGAACTCCTAACTGCGACTTGATGACGTCGCTCAAGTCCCGCAGCATCGCTGCCTGGTAACGAGAATTCCCCAATTGATCCCAGTAGATGGTAGGACCACAACCTGCTATCTGGATCTATCTGGTATAAATTCACACGGCATAATTGGGAATGATACACGAACCAACAATCTGAGAAGCGACTTGATTCAGCGCTTGAAAGAGTTCAGCAGGCAAAAAAGCTATCACACGCTGAATGTATGTTTTTTCGTTTTCAGAGATGATCCACCAACATATCCATCCGAAGCCAAGCATAACATAACCAACCCAGTAAGAAATGCAACACTTACCATACAAAATCCCACAATATCTATAGCAATATTCTGGAGAGATTTCTCCATGGCCTCATCAAAGGGCAACTCCAGTTCCAGGGCTTCGGCCCCACGGGCCTTCACTTCCTGCTGGTGGCTGGTGGCCAACGACGGACCCGTGGCATCTGGTTTTTGCAGGTTTTTCGCTAAAACGCCAAAATTGCAAGAGTCACATCGTGTCGAAATGATGCTTTTGACTGGTCATGTTTACGGTTTACTTTTGTATGTTTCAACTTTTCAACGTTAACCATGTTCAACTTTAGCAACAATTTCCAGACACACCAAATAAAGAATCCAAAGCCCATGGTGATTTTGCTTGGCTGAGTGAAGCAAACTTGCTTCTGGCATCAAGAGTGTCATGGTTTTCCCAACTGCACAAATGGTCATTCATCATCCCACCTACAAGGCTTCGTGAGGTGTCATGGTCACGTTCATCTCACCAGATTCCAACATCATTCAACTACCGATCCGGATCCCGTTGATCCCGAACCCCAAGGTGGATCTGGGATGCCTTGGACATCACGAAGGACGCAAAGGGCATGGCTTGTTTCATGGTCTGCTTGGGAAAGGCTTTGATGCTCTCGGCTTCTCGGAGTTGTCCCATGAAGTTCTTCTCCATTGGCTCGTTGTCTTCATTGAGCTCGATACCTTGCAGGACCTGCACAGGCTGCACGGGGACTCAAGGTACGTGGACATACGTGGACATACGTAGAACACACTGTGCAACCTGGTGTACCGACGAGAATTTTGTTCCTCCCTATGTTTGAATACATGATGTGAATTGATGTGAAGACATTCTGAAAGAGCTTTCATCTTGGATTCTGAGCTTCCCATGATAAAACAAGTGATATATGGATATATCAAGGATATATAAGGAGCCAAACATGTTGCTTGAGGTGCAAAATGTTGCAAAGAGATGCAAAGAGAACATCCCTTTTCACTTCACGTCGAGACATGATAGACATGTTAGCAGGTTAGCTGGTGATTTTCGTGCCTTCAAAACCTCCATCTGCCAGGGTTTGTAGTTCTTGGCCACGAAGATGATGGCGTGCGTGGGCTTCGGTGGAACCTCTTTGGATTTCTTCTTTGGGCTCTTGAACTTCTCAAGTTGAAGCCGGAAGGATCTCAGAGATCCCTGGATCAAGGCATACTGCCGGGCCAGAAAGGCATCGATTTCTTTGGACTCTGGCCATCTTTGTTTCACCACCAAAGTGTCTTTCTTCAGGACATTTCGCCAAAGATTTTCGCAAAAATGTGGCGCAATGGGCGACAAAGTGATGGTTTGACTCTCTAGGAGCCGTTCGACCACCTCAGCGTGCACGTCGCCATTGGTCAAGATACTGTATTGAGATCTGAGATTCTCCAAATCGTACCAAACACATCTGAGAGCATCCGTGAACAACATTTTTCTATAAGCTGTGTGAGCATTTTCCAGGCAAATGTTGATCTCGTTGTTGAAGATCTCATCCAGAAAGGTGTAGTCTCCAGTTCTCATGGTGGGCAATCGAGCCTTTGCATCTTCCGCCCAAGCCTGTAAGGTGGTGAGCCTTAGGATGGTTTTGCCACAGGATTCGGTGCTAAAGTTGGCATCTTGTAAACCATCACCAGAATCAGCACAGGCGATGCGGGTCGCATCCGCACTATAGGTGGAAATCGCTTCCTCCAATGTGAGGAAGTTACCTTTGGACTTGGACATTTTCTCGCTGTTCACCATGACATGGCCATTGCAATAAAAGGCCCTGGGCCATAACTTGGAATCTTCCCAAACTGCTGCGTGATTGAACAAAGACATGGTCAAATGATTCTGAATCAAATCTTTTCCACTGCATCGCAAATCCACAGGGTACCAATATTCAAATTCCTTCCTCATCTTCACCAGCAAGTCTTTCGGAACGCCGGGGCTTTTTGGCAGTGTCTCAGAGATGCAGAAGACGTAGTCAAAGACCTCTTCCGTCAAGTCCTCCGCCTTGAGGCTTTCCACCAAATGAGCAATGGTGTAGTAGGCCATGTAGATGGTACCTGCCCCACAGGCAGGTGACAAATAGTGACAAACATCATCAAGTATCGTTAAATATCATCAACTATCGTTAAATATCATCAACTATCATTAAATATCATCAAGTATCATCCAATATCATGAAGCCAAATGGGCAGCTAAGAATGAAAACAGTGACATCACATATCTTCTCAATTTCGTCAATGGGCTGAAGATGTTCCATGGCCCCGTTTCGTACCCAGAACAAAAGAAGCTCAATAGATTGGTCCGAATTGCCTGGATTTTCGATTCCGGACCATCCGGACCATCCGGACCATAGCTAGAGATCTTTGAGCCCCCAACTTGCTTCAAGGATTCTTTAAGTTTTGCACATGGGTTTTGCAAGCCGGATTTCTCAACGGCAATGGAAGTCGGCCTATGTTTGGAAACAACATGCACCAAACTGATGTCAATCACTGATTGATGTCTGATGTCTGCTCCATTCGTATGTCCAAGGTGCTGTCACTCAAGCTTTCAATGAGCCACTGTTCATCCCATGGCAACTTGGTGCCCAAGCCGAAGGTGCGAGAGCAGGCCCAATCGCCCAGCCAGCCCACGGCATGTGCCAAGGCATTCTTCGAGGCATCACCTGAGTTAATCAGTGTTAATCTGATATAATCTGATACATCTTCCACTGTTAATTCTCTGGAAGAATATTTTAGAAACAAGATCAGAACTCAGTTGAAGCTTTGAAATCCTTAGAAGTATCTGGCTTCGCACTGGATTTTGCTCTGGGTCCCTGTGACATTTTTTGAGCTCTGGATTAAGGATTAAGCCCCGACATTTGATCCTGAGATTGAAAGACTGTTATCCACATCCAAGACACCCAAGACACCCAACTCATCCTTAATTAAGACATCCAAGTCACTGAACATCTCGAAATCGCTCTCCACATGTTCACGCACTCGTTTGGTCCAAGCTTCATCGCTGTATTTCAAATACCATTGTTCGCACAAAGCCACCACACATTCATCACCCGAACGGGCCACCACTTTGGATTCTGGCTCGAAATATGCTACAGCTTCTCCCTTCTCGATCAACTCATCACGAATCTTCGTTTTCACATCGGCCACCTTCTCTCCTTTGTATGGCCCCACATTCATGATCCCCGAGTAGAAGCCTTTCTGATAGACGTCTTTCTTGGCAGCTGCCAACTTATCTTTCTCTCGGTGGGATCCGATCTTCATCTGCTCACAGATGGCTGGAGCTGAAGCTGAGTCTGAAGATCCTGCATCCTCGTTGTCGTCCTCAAAGGTCAAGATATCGACCACATCGGGAGCACACCACTCCTCTTTGACCTTATACTGTTCGCGCCAATTGGAACGGGTCTTCCAATCACGCAAACAGACATAGTCGTCCGGAGCTTCGGCTGGAACACTGGTGACCACTCCTGTGCCTTTGGACATGGAAATGGTGAACATCGGCAAGACATGGATCGTTTCATATTGGCACAGTGGAGCATCAAGAGGCAAACCCACCAAATCTTGACCCGTCTTAGACATCAAAGAGGTTGGACCATTCGGGCCACTGGGGCCGTTCTTCTCATCGCCTTCCATCAAGTCTTGGTAGTACATGTTCAAGGCTGACCGCTGGCTGCACACAAAGATCTCTCCTTTCTTGGTGCGGAAGAAACCATATTCACCTGTCAGATCTGTCAGTGTGCCAAAAGTCTGCCAGATCCTCCAAGTAAGAATAAGTAGATATAAGTTATAAGTAGTTATTAAAAGACACTGACATGGTAATTTCCCTCATGAGATGTTTTAAGCTTAGTAAGAGAACCCATGTCAATGGCCATCAATGGTCATTTGGTCATAAATCCAACGCCAGGTCATCACCCAAATCGTGGATAGTTTTGCTGAACGAAACAAATGGAAACTTGGCACATTGGAAAACTTGTGAAAAACTTGTGAAGGCCTCAAAAATCTGTTGACCGGCCATCGGTCCGATTTTTTTCAATTTGATGCACCGCGCCTTCTGGAAGCACGAAGCAGTTGGTCTGACCGTACATGGTTTCGGGTCGAAGAGTTGCTGCCACCAAATACACTTCGCCATCGCCCAGTTGCTCCTGGCAATCGAATATTGATCCGTGATCATCCGTGATAATCCATAATAATCCATGATAATCCATGATCATCCATGATAATCCATGATCAAAATATTCACTTCTGGGTTTCAACGCAAAGTTGAGCGTGAAATAAATTTCTCGACATGCTCGGGACAGGAACGTTTGGTACGGGGGGGGTTCAGGATTGTTTTTTGATCGCAGGGCTTTGGGCCAGTCTTCGGCTCCTACGCTCACACAAAATCATTCGAAAAATTGGGTCGATGAATCGCTGAGAGTTGGTCAACAACTTACCCTGTAATCATGGCTAGTAGCGGCTAGTAATGGCATGTATTGACTGAAGAATCCCTAGAATCTGACGCACTTGATGCGGTGTCGAGTGGTTTCCCCATGTACAAAACACATCAAACACCTTTAAAAACACCTTTTTTTTCACTGGTACCGTGCTGGTCCCGTGGTCCTTCCATTCAGCTGGGATCTCCTTGACCCGCAACTTGATCAAGGTGTACTCCTGTGGATTCACACCTTCACCCTCTGCTCGGTCATGATCCGCGCAGGGTTGTTGAGTGGTCATAGAGAAAATGGTCTGCCTCTTGCCATTGGCCAAATATTTGGCTTTCAATTTTTGGAAATGCCATTGAACAAAGGAATCGAAGTATGGATTCAAATCGGTGGTGATGAAGGTCCTTCGCCAATCCACTGCGGTACCAAAGCGCTTCATGTCTTGGATGGCCAAAGGTGGGAAATATTCCAACCAGTAGGTGGGATCCGTAAATTTGGGAATCTCCTCCTCAGGAATTCCCAGGGCCAACATGATGTCGTACTGATCCAAGCCTCCCGTCTTTGCCACGGACTTGGACTTCTTTCCTTTGAACACCCCAGGGGCAGCTTCAGCAGCTTCAGCTGCCTGGTCAGCCTGGTCAGCCTCGACTTCGGTGGCTTCGGCTTCGGCTTCGGTGGCGTCGCCTCGTTTGGCAATGCATTCCTTGAGTTTCAGAGCAGCTGCAGCAATGGGCATCCCGGTGCAGTGAAAGCCGAAGGGAAAAAGCACACGTTTGCCATTGAGACGTGCGAAGCGGGCGGCGAACTCTGCTTTGGTGATGGAAAAGGCATGGCCCAAATGCAACTTGCCATTCATGTAGGGGAAAGGGAAGGTCACAAAATATTTCTCAGGAGCATCTTCAGGAGCATCCATTTCATATGCCTTCTCCTCTTCCCAAAGTGTTTGCATCTCCTTTTCGATGTCTAACAACTGATCTCTCCTGGTCCAATCCTGGGCAGCTCGATGAACTGCAACTCGTCTCCCTCGTCTCAAGCCTCTCGAAATCGAGCGGCGGCCATGGCGTGCCCGGCCCACCAGTGCTGCACCGATCAAAGGAAGCGCCGTCAGCGCCGTCAGCGGCTGCCGCTGGGGAGTGGCGCTGCTCGGCCAATGCGGCCGATGGATGGGGCGCTGGATGCGGCCCTGCAGGTGCCCAGGGCCTTGAGGGCCTTGGGGGCCTGGCACGAAGGACAAGGACTCCATGGCGAAAGTCGAAGGGCCGTCGAAACCTGGTCACAGTCAACGCATGTCAGTTCTGGGTACTCTTGCCTTTTCTACTTGGAGCTCTCAAACCTGAAATGATCTGTGAAACCATGTGAAACATATGTCGCACACATGGGTTCCTTGATCCTACGTGTGTTTCCTAACTTTGCGCGTTGGGGCCATCAAGAGCACAAAGGCATGCATAATCAACAGGAATAGGACTTCAATTGCTCACATGTGCAAGGCATATGCAGGAAGAGGTACAGCACTCCACTGTTTCATCCTGTCCTTGGCACGTATCTTGCCTGATATCCCTTTCAGTTGTGCTGGTTCTGATCCCGACTTGAATCACAACTGACGTTTTTTCCACAAGTCACAAGTCATGGGACCTCAGGACTGCAGCACTTTGAAGCCTGGGGTCGCAGTGTGCTAAAAATTGGAGATCTCAGTGCTGTGATCGATCAGTTGGTGGGTCAGAATTTTCTCTGAGTTTCCAGCCGATTGACAACATCGACATGCCTCGAATGGGCCGATGTCGCTTGTCAGACCTGCAGCTGGCACGGGGCAGAAACTCTTACAAAAAAGCAAGCATTGTGGTTTGTTTTTTTCATCCTGTTTCAAGTTTCACCCTCAAAAGCGTACACTGAATAGTCTTCAGACTTCTTAAATCCTTTAGGATGCCGTTTTTGGCAAATAATTTTATTTGCGTTTTTTTTAAAATGATTTTATTATGATTTGCAGATATGGTTTTTTTATGGTTGAGAACATGACTTATGGTTTTTTTATGGTTTTGAATACTATTTTTTATGGTTGGGAAAATGACTTATGTTTTTTTAATGGTGTTGAATATGTTTTTTTTTAATGGTTTTGAATACGATTTTTGATTCTAATCGATTTTGGTAGAGTTTCCCTTTCCCAGAAACCTTTTCCTACAACAGAACCTGATTTTGAAGCAAAATTGAAAAAAATAGGTAAAAAAATCGTAAATGCAACCAAGGTCCCCAGAACCTGGTTTTTAGCCAAAAACTCGAGAAATTTACGATTCTTTTACGATTTTCGTAGGGAACCGTACCAAAATCGTAAAAATAAAAAATGTAAAACAAACGTAAATGCCACCAAGGTCCCTAGAATCGTTTTTTTGCCAAAAACTCGAGAAATTTACGATTTTTTTTACGATTTTCGTAGGGAAGCGTACCAAAATCGTAAAAAAAAACGTAACAAAATCGTAAATGCCACCAAGGTCCCTAGAATCGTTTTTTTAGCCAAAATTACGATTTTGGTACGATTTTGGCCAAAACCATTCCAAACCCATAAAAAAATCGTAAAAAAATATCCAAATCCATTAAAAAACGTATCCAAAGCCATTAAAAAATCATATCCAAAACCATAAACAAAAACATAAGTGATTTCCCAATCGTACCCAAAACCATAAAAAAATCATAACCACAATTTGAACCCATAAAAAAAACATAAATGGAAATCGTAAAAAAATCATAAATAAATCATAAAATAAATTATGTTGAAACCCCTTCATCCTAGAGACTTAGGAACTCTGAAGAATAGTCCCATCATCTGGCAATCTATGGGCATCTTTTAATTTCTTTTGACACCTGCAGTGAGTCACAGTGACAAGACATTTGGATCATGTTATGATCATGTTTTACGATATGTTCATACATATATATATATAAATATTTGTGATATATATATATATCTATATGTGATATATACATGATATATATATATATGATATATATATATATGATATATATATATATGATATATACAAATGATATATATATATACATGATATATACATATATATATGATATATACAAATGATATATATATATATATATCATATATACATATGATATATATTAATGATATATATATATGTGGCATATATATATGTGATATATATGATATATAAATGATATATATATATGATATATATATATGATTGTGAAAGCACAGTAGATCACAGTCCAGTCATAATTCACTGATGTTCCTGACTCATTGTTCAGCGCCGACCGCAACACGCGGCTCAAGGGTTCAAGACTTCCAACGCCCCCGCATGAGTGGAAAAGACGGTCGTGCGTGCTGCCTCTGGTGTTCAGGAATATAACAAGGTTACGATCAAAACCGACGGCAAGTACAAACACAAGGGTCGAGTCACAGCCCATTCACAGGTTATCAGCCGTACGCTCACGCTGAGCGTACGGTGGTCCCACGGTAACCTTCAACCTCTTCGACATCCCGGTCTTCCTGCCCTACTACAAGTCATTGATCTTGAAGCAAACGGAGGCAGACTGGCAACAAGAAGATGTCGCAGAAGAACCAGTCGAGCAGCAACGACACGAGCTTTTCCTTCGGAGCGAATGCTGCTCCGGCCCAGGCGATCAATGACACGCCTGGATCCCAAGAGAGCGGCGGCGGCACGATGTCCTACCGTGCTGCTGGAAGTATAGCATCAACAAGCAGCTTCACAGTGGTCAATCAAGCTGACGTAGTTCGAGGAGGAAGTGCCAGAAGAGCAACATCGGCAAGATCACCTCGCGCTGCAAGATCTCGCATTGCAGAAGACGGCGGTGGCCGAAGCCCGTCGGGCGCGGCCACGCGGGAGGATGAGGCAGGGAAGTCTACCACCTCATCCAAACGCAAGCCATCGACCAGCGCTACGAGGAATGAGAGCGAGGCACGTCTTCGACGTCAACTACAACACAATACCGAGAAGCTGGAGAGGAGCGAACGGGCAAGGACTGAACTGGAAAACAGACTAAGTCTTTATCAGGATGTTCTTGCACACCGTGATCAGATGATTAACAACATGGAGATCTATTCACATCAACATCATGAAGAATATCAAGAACATGTCAACTCCGAGATGGAATTCATGAGAGTTTCCCTCATCGATGCACACCACGTACTTGAAGAGCATACGATCGCACTGGCTGAGGCACACCTCCTGGACGAAGGCTCAACAATGAGGATCATCGAGATGGAGAAGCGCGGTCAACTCGCTGAAGCAGGTACGGCACATATTGTTCGGGAAAGTATGGAGATGAGGGGAAAGTATCTCACTGAACTAGAGAACGCATCACAACTCATTCGTCAACAACATGATACATCTGAAGCTATGACAGTTCACTTTCGTCAAGATGGGCTACAACTGCGTGAAGCATGTACACAGTATGTTCAAGACAGGGAGAATGCGAGCAAGGAAGAAATGGAGCAATTGAAACTGAAACTATCAGAGCAATCACATATGATGGCTGACAACAATGAGATGATCATGGAATATGGCCAACAAGCTGCTGCAGTACGTGATGAACAGTTGGTAGAGATGCAATCAACTATCGACGAACTGACTGCCAGTTTGTCGCACAAGGACAACCTCATTGCTATCAGGGACGATGCGAACCGTGATCACATTGTGAAGGTTCGAGACATGAAGAACATGATTCAGGAGAGAGAGGAAGAGTACAACCGGAAGCACAACGAGCTCGAGGTGGAGATCAGAAGCCTCATGAGAATCAATGAGAACGAGAGTGCTACCCGGGAATGGTATACAAATCGATTCATTGACGAGAAGAACGAGTTCCGCCAGTTCAAGCATGATGAACTTAGTGCATTCAAGGACAGGGAAATCACCATCGAGCGTGTCAAGGACGAACTCATGGATGAGAACATGGCTTTGATTGAGTCCACCAATCAGTTGAGAACACGGGTTGCTGAACTTCTTGGATCTCGATTTCATGCTGGTGGTGACGAAGACAATGCCAAGGTGAATGAAGAACTACGTGAAGAGCTTCGCAAAGCCAACATGGAGATCAGTCGACTTCAAGAAGCAGTTGAAAGCAATCCGAAGCTCACTGAGGCACTCATCGACGCCGAAGAGGCAGAGGCAGATAGGTACAAGAAGCTCTATCAGTCGGCCTGTTCTGAACGTGACCATGTGATCAGAAAGAATGACTCATTGAAACAATCACCCCACGATGCAAGACTGACAATGAGTACGGTGCCAGCGTCATGGAGCAGAGTATCGACCAGAGCCACAGTACCAGCTTCACCATCAGCGGTGCCTCCTACGACCCTAGTTCCGAGGACGACTGCACTTACTGGCAAAACTCCATCATTTGCAGTATCGATTTCAACACCTATGGGTACGCCTAAGGCATCCTCTACGTCGAAGAATCATGATCCTGCTCTACCACCACCACCATCACCTAGCTTGAGTAATGCCATCAACAACCAGACCAACAGCGAGATCGATGATCTTCGTGAGAAGCTCCGTCGGTCTGAAGAACGAGCTCAGCAGAACTATGACGAGATGAAAGAGTACCAGAGTTGGCTGGAACAAGTTGAAGAAGGGCAAGAATCTTTGAAAGACAGCAAAGCCCCTGAGTTCGAGCCCATTCCTGACAATCCTCCTGGACTTTGGGAACGGAAAGATGGCAAAGACGCTAGTGTTGCAAACAGTGATGCTGGTCAAGATGGCAAAGATTGGGTAACTAGGATTTCCAGGAAAGAGCACGAGAAGGTCACTGTCAAGCCATGGCCAAAATGCCAGGATCTTGATGTATGGCGTTCCAATGTCGTGCAGGCCGTATGTGTTGCATCAGGTGATCCAGACACGGCTGCATGGAGAAGATGGCTATCTCCTGCTCTATTACCCAGTCCTGACTATGCTGAACTTGCCGATTCAGGAGAATTCCGTTTCCAGTCCATCGACTCCAAGTTGTCCATTGCCTTGCAGAACATGGTAGACTCCGCTGGCGAGACGGCATCGGAGGTCAAGGTTCGGATTAGACAGAGGAGTCAAGTTCTGGGAAAAGAAGGGAATTTCCTGATGGGCAGGGAGATATTGGCAATGGTATTAGATCATTTCAGAACAACATCGAAAGATGAGGTATTGTTCAATGCCAGCCACATCTACAAGTTACAGTATTGTGGTGACAAAGAGATGGATAAGTTCCTCCATGCTTGGATTGAGATCATCGCCAACATGAAGGCTGAGGACA